ATCTACAGCAAAGAAAACTCAGGCTTCACGTAGAATTTAGTGTAAATAGAGTCATAGTATAACTTAGATTGAAAGAGACCTCAGGAGGTCCCCAAGATTAGCCTTGTAACCCAGCAGGATCAGATCCAAGGCCACATTGCTCCAGCTTTATCCAGTTGAAAACCTCCAAAGGGAAGCTCTCTGAGCAGCCTGTTCACTGTCCTCATAAAGGAATTTCATCACCTTTAATCAAAACCTCTCGTTTCAAATTATACCATTATCTCTAATCCCCCCAGGACCCACAGCTGGAAAAGCAGACCACTTTCCTGACAACCTCTCCACATTCACTGAAAGGCTGCTATCAGCTTCTCCTGAAGATGCATCTTCTGTTACACTGAAGACCTTGTTCATGGGCAAAGAGGAAACATAACATATATACAAGTAAAGCTAAGAATTTTTTGTTAGCATATGGAAATCTTGACCCAATTAGTCTATTAGTCTATGAGCTATTACTATTTAAATAGTAGAATAATAATGCAGGTTGTGTCCTTTCATATAGAAGTTGCAGTAATAAACTTGTAAGACACATTTCTCATTTTCTCTCATTTTTTTAGGGGTTATTTTCACCCTTCTACTGTTACTCTGTATCTCAAAATCAGTATCTCCAGACTGCTGGAAAGGATAACTTGAAGCTATCAGCATCTGAAGTCCTTTGTTGGGAGGAATATGCTGCTGCTTTCTTCTTCCTCTCTCTAAGAAGGAATCTAGGATCCCTCTAGGATCTACCTGGAGTTCTTTTTATGCTTGCTAACACGCTTTTACATCTTTATTTTTCTTTATTGGCCTTCAGATCAAAATATGTGATATATGAACCCTTCACATATGTTAGATGTGATTCCTTTGTTCTGTTACTTCCTAAAGACAATTTTGTCTAGTTCTCGTTCTGCCTTAAACAACCAAACCAAGGCAAAAACAAAACCAAAAAAATCTAATCAATCAACCACAAAATCAGAAAAAACTACCAAAAAACAAACCACACCAAAAAACTCCACAGCCCAACTGAAGAACCAAATCCACTTCCCTCCCCCTTCCATATTTGACTGCTGGTGAGTAACCACTCAGCAATACAGGAGTATGGAGTTTCCAGTTCCACACCCATGCCATCATTAATCTGTACTCTTCTATTCTACATCCCTTGTTTCCAATTCTAAAGGCCTGCTATCATATAATATGCTTGCATTTCTCTCCACATCATTATTTTGATTATAAATGTCTTATTGCACATAAAATACCTGCTTAATACTCTTACATAAATAAAACTATGGTTGTACCACCAAAAGGCAAATGAAGTAAAAAAAATTAACCACAGACACCTGGCCAGTTATAGAAATCATTCTAGCAAAGCTAAGAAAACAAAGATACAGGCAGGCCAAAGAAAGTCCAGAAGGGGAAGTATGATATTCCTCCTCAGTCCCAAGGCTTTACAGACTCAGTACCAAGCTTATGGCCTGTTACTAACAATCATAATACATTATTACAGTGTATTAAGTACATGACCTGCTTGGAAGTTGAACAAGACCTAATCCATAGCCTTTCATTAAATTTGTTTGAGGTGGCTGAAATCTTCCATGAACTGGGGAACCCAAAAATTAGACAGTCTATATGCAGTCCGATACAAAATACCAGATACATCATCCTAAGTACTTTCAATACTCACCCTGCCTTCTATTACTGACAGGTAACTGCAATATTTTAGCTATTTCTGAGAAGTTCCTACTTTAATTTACCTTCTTTAACTGCTCTTTCTCTGAGCTGGATACTGCTTCTTCTCAGTAGATAAAAGCATGCTAAATAAAAAGTCAAGTCTCCAAAAACTGGAGTTACATGAGTATCACCTACCTGTTATAGCCTGGCACAGTTGTGCCACAGGAGCCTTTAACAGCTCGATAGATGTCAAGGCTTGGGGCAAAGAACCCCAAGGGAGTATTGAATGGCTGGCTTTTCAAAGAGCTGTAGAAATTCAAGATATTACCACTACAAGTCTCCATGTTTACTAGCCCCACAGTCCAACTAACCATGCAGAAACCTAAGTTGGTGGTTGGGTTTATTTCTTGGGGTTTTTTTACCCAGGTAATTCCACACACAATAGACTTAAGAAATTGCTCATTTGAAATTCTTTCAGCTACTGAGTGTGAGAGGTGATCTAAAATCTGAGGCAATTGATGATGGTGGTAAGGTAAAACCAGTGAGCTCCAGATTAAAAAAAAAGCACCTGTTTCTTTGGCTACTTAATCATCTCCCTCTAAAAGCCTAAGCTATTGTGCTGAAAGTAAGACTGCATATGTATCAGTACCTTAAGTACCTATTTTACAACTCATAAGTATTGCAAAAGAGCACTGCTAAGAAAATCTCAATTACAGCTCTTGACTCAAACTTCCAGGCCAAGTCTTCCAGCCTGCTCAGTGGTTAATCTCTAGGGACAATTTTGTTTCACAGACAGCCCTAGAAGGAACCCTATTAGTGTCCACAATCAAGGAGTCTCAGAAAGGATGTGTGTGTTGGGAAATCCTGCACTGCTCATCCTAAGCCACCGTGTCTGTGAGACAAATTCTGGATGCTGAATTACTCTGCACGTCAAAAGGGGATGGGGAGGAGGCAGTACTTGCAGGGAAGACAGACAAAACTGGAAAAGGTATGAAATTACTTACAGAATCATGTTAATTCAGAAAAGAGCTCAGGGTGATCACCAATCCACATCCTTCTCAAAGCTGGGTAAACTACAAGATTGGATCATGTTACTTTTGCCTTAATCTAGCATTCTCTTGAAAACCTCCAAAATAGACAGAAAAATCTCTCAGGCAACCTGGTGCACGGTTTAACTGTCCTAAGGGCATTTTTTTTAAATATTACATCTTGGCAGAACTTACCCTGTTTCAAATTATGCCTTGTTGTGTCTCATCCCCACACTGAGCACTCCTGAGAAGTCTTGCTTCACCTTACTCAGTAGCTTCTTTAAGTTCAGTGATATGCTTTAGCATTTTTATTACAAAAAAAGTCTGGATTTCTACAAGACAAGCAAAGTCTGTATTTTAAGTCAGGTGCAGAAGAGGTGCAAGCAAACTGACCTTCCAAGAGTCTCCATTTGAGTCTAGTGATAAGGACCAACTCCAGATGTTAGAGAGTGATCCAGGAGTTAACAGCTGCTCTTGCAAAGAAAGAGGGATTACTTTTCATTGATTATTTCACAATATTAGTATTAAATATAATAGTCCAGACTGATATATGAAGTGCCAGTTTCTGAAAAAACAAAATGCAGACAGGAAACCCTTAGCACCTCAGATCAAGGGATAAACAATCAACCTTATTAAACCAACAAACCAAGTTTATTTATATAAGTCTGTACAATTGTGATGAACTATGCTAGGACACCAATGAAACAAAGTAAACAAATCGCTCCCTCTCTAACAAGTGGGAGGTGTAGTCACTCACCTTTACATGCACTTAAAGGAAAAAAGATTACAGCTTTCATACAATTATGTAACTATTCAAGAGTACTTTCTTCATGTATTATTCTCAATATAAGACGTTTGCATCATTTACTGACGGTTGCCTTCTCTGAAAAACAGTATTTTAGCAAAACCCAGAGACTTTGAGAAGGTAAGTGGCAGCTTCATAATCGCAGATAACTTAGGACACAGTCCATCATTCAGATTGGCATCCTAAACTCACTGCATTTCCTGTATTTCGGTTTTCTCTACTAAAAGTTACTTGCAACACTGTATGGGTCTCATCCACACTTTGGTTGTATTACAGACAGACAGTCTTGTGTTACCAAATGTAGAAGTTAACTAAAACTAATACATCAAGGCCAAGCATATTAAGAATACTGTATTTAGGTTAAGTTTACCTTTAGAGACCACTTGTCACTGCATCTCAGAGCTCTGAGGCATTTCTGTGGAAAAAATCAGTTCCTGAACTGTTTGATTTGGCAATTATTTCTGCAAACCACTAGAGAGTGATTATTTTTAAAACTGTCTATTACAAAGTAAGTTTAATTTTTTTAATCACAAATCACCTTAGCTGTTGAAAAAACCAAATCATATCAAATGCATATCTACACAGCGAATCACAACGTTTCCTATGAAGTTATGATGGTAGATCTCATAAATCCAATCTTAAAAAGTTTTAAGTATGTATATGTGAGCCTACTGTAACTCCAGAGAAGCTGCTAAAATAGACCACCAAATAAAGTAGTCTATGATTACATATTTACAGAATAATCCACATGTCCTAGAACTATGGACTATTCAGTAAATAAGTATGGAAACATTTCTATTTATTTGTTTACACGGTAGGCTTCATATGTTGATAATCTTTTTATACACAGTTCGTAGAATCAATCTGCACACAATTACATGATGTTTCTTTAAAGCTACTGTTAAAAAAACGGAAGAGAAAGTTAAATAAGAACTAGATTAAATTTTCATTAAGAATCCAGCAAGAAAGTATCAAACACAGGTTAATATATAACCAGTGTATGATTTCAGAAAAACAGTCATGCTCTGACACAAGAAGAGCATTGTGTTTTGCCTCTGCAGAGTCCCTCAGAAACATTCCTATCCAGTTCAGTGCTTAAGTTGTTGCACACGTACTGGCCTGAGTAGGAACACACACGTGCTTGCACGCTTACCTGAACGAGGGCCTCTAACCTTTTAGACTTCTAATTCTTTTAATTTAGTTCTTAGTTTCATATATTCAGTTGTATCTTGTTTGGAAAAGTTCATTGTTAAACGTCACTTGTATTTACATTTGATTTTTTTTCTTTTTTACACCTGAGTGATAATTTAGCTGTCAATTTGTGTCCAGTCAAATATTCCATAAAGCCATACAATTCACGTGCTCATGTTGCACTCCACTTGTACCAGTTTATATATGAAAAATGTCCATCACCTACCTCTCATATTACCCACTGACCTTTTTATTATGTCCTTCCCCTTCCATAGAATGTGATTTTTTTTAAAAAAAATTTGTTTATTGAAAGAAGCCCCATTTAAATGGTTCAGAAAGCAAGAAACAAAGTGAGCTGGAGTCCAGTGAAGACATGATAACAAATATGTAATATTGAAAGCTTAGAGAAGAAATTAAAGCCCAACCAAATGAGCTCCCACCCCATAAAAAGCTACTTCACCAGTTACAGTTGTAGTCTGGATGTGCTACAGATGACAAGTCCCACATTAAAATCTGTGTACCTCTTTCTCATCAGTTAAGTGTAATTAAAAAAGGGAACATGAAGTTAAATAGCTATATCAGCCAAGCCGTTTTAGTAAGAAGAATCACATTTAATGAGTTTCTTTCTTGCAATTTCAGATGCTCAAGTACAGCTGGTAGAAATTCAAAACAGCCGTAAAGAACTGTGACAGACGGATACAAATAGTACTGCAGCTTAAAAATGATAAAAAACACCTGAAAAAAAGTCACACAACCCTCCCAAAAAAATTTACACTTTGAACCTAGGCCAGTTTTTGAAGATTCCCTTCTCCAAAGCTAGGATGAAGGAGGAAGAAGAAGAGGGAGAAAGTGCAGATGACCTTCCAGCCACAAAGGTCTTGCGCCAATGTTTATTCACTGTGCCTGTGGTGGTATGTAAGGGGAGATCACCAAGTGCTGATTCTGCGACTGCCAAGAGATTCCTATGGAAATCCAGACCTCAGGCTAATACTGAACACAGAGTGGACCAACGAGCTGCATCAACAAAATAAAAACAAAACTCAAACTAAAAGAAATGGGAAAACCCCAAATAGCACAGATCCACATTTGTGAGGGGAGCAGAGGAAAGGGCAAGAAGGGAGGTCTATACAGTAAATAGTTGAATGGTTTATGTTACAGATGACTGGCAGTTTTAAAGAGTCTCTTCCCAGCTCCATTGCTGCTCCAACCCAGAAGGGAGAACTGAAAAGGGAGGAAGAAAAAGTAGGACATCATCATGGAGCATGCAGGATCAGAAGCAGCAGAGTGGGCATGCTCAAATAAGCCCCCGTCTCTTTTTGTAGTCCTCCAAGTTCAATGATCGCCGAGGGGCACCATCTTTTGCTGGAGGAGCCTTGGAGGTGATGGCCAGTGCCTTAGATTCTGTTGGGGAGAAGAAAAAGGTAAGGACCAAACTACAGGAAAACTAAATTTTTACTTGTTGTTGACAACTTCACCACAAAATCATGTTTGGCTTCTCTAGTATATATCAGGTTTGAACTTCAGTTAATACAGACAGTATCGGGGAGCTTATCTTCATAGATGCAGCACATGCAGTTTTGACTCTGTTAATCCAGCTGTTAATCCAGAGACAGATAAGCAGAAAAAGTCAAATGTTCTATCTGTCTCTACACACATTTTCATCAGCCTCCAGATTCTTCTGTTAAACAAGGAGACTGCACAAAGTAAGATGCCAGAATGATGTTCTGTCTAAAGAAAACTCTGTTTCTCATCCTTCTCTCTTCAGTGCCCTTCAGTGCCTAACCCTCATCTGCTTGCTAATTCTCAAGTTCATAACCCTTACTAGCTGTTTCAGGAAATGTCTTGTTCTTGAACTCCTGCCTCATTCAGTAGTCTTACATCCAGAGTTTCCATCTCGACCTGGTTTGGAAAAACAACTTCTCCTGCTCTTGCTTCCTGACAAGGTTTGTCTTTGTGCATTCTTACAGTACTTCCTAAATTACTGTCTTCCAAGAAACTCCAGATCTAATCTTTCAAGTAATGCAAGAAATACTAAACCTTGTGTGTCAAATTTTCCCTCCTATGCCTTCCTCCCACTGGAAAACAACACAAGACAGGACACAGGAAAATAGCCTCAAGTTGGGAGGTTTAGACTGCATATTAGGAGAAAATTCTTCACCAAGATGGTTGTCAAGCATCAGAACAGACTGCTCAAGGGAGTGGCTGGGTCACCATCCTTGGAGGTATTTAAAAGACATGTAGCTGTGGCACATGGGGACCAGGTTTACTAGTGGACTTGTGAATGTTGAGTTAATGGTTTGACTTGATAATCTTAAAGGTCTTTTCCAATCAAAATGATCCTAGGATACTCAACTGTTCTTGTCACACATCTCCTGCTGTCAAAGTCAAGATAACAAAGAGGAAGAGCCAGCAAGTTTGTGTCTATTATCTTCACTCACTGGTGTTTTCGTTCCCCTAAAATTTAGCTTCAATACCATCTGCAATGCCTTAGTTAGGGAATAGCAACTTGGTAAAGCAGAAGGTTCAAAATCAAGTAAAAATACCTTAACCCCACAGTACGTGCACAGAAGACAGAACAGCACAGACACACAGCTTATCTGCTGTCAAAAGTTATTAGACAAATTAACAAAGTAACTATCAAGGTAGCTGCCAAGACTTATTAAATACAACACGCATCTTTCCCCCAGAGATTATGCAAGTCATAGATAATACAGACTGGAAAAGCATATCAAAAACCACTCATTATCTCCTTCCCTCCCTAGGCTTCAAGTCAAGGATATGGGGATACACAGGCTTTTAGTTTAAAACAATATGGTTGTTCTTGTTTTCTCAAAGGATGTCACTATCACACATCCCCTCCTCCTCAGTTCAAGATACTTGCCAAGATGGTAAACAGAGTCCTTACTCCAATTCTCAAAAGGTCAACAATAACTTTGAAAGAATTATCCTGGAAGAAGTAAGTTCTACCAAAATGGGCTGGACAATCACATCCCCAAACTCAGAGGGAACACCCACCTGAACTGGGAACCTGAAGATCAATCTTTACATCAAAGTCATGCACTTTGAAAAGATCTTCTGAGAGGTCACTAGCTGATTTAGAGTTCACATCTTTATCTTTTCCTTGACCCTGAAATGAAAACTATAGGTAAGTCGCCTAATCTTATCTGGCCATACCAACAGAGATAAGAATGTTTTTTCCCCTCTTCTGTCACAAACATACTTAGTGTAGCTTTTATACTGCTAGAGCAATGTAAATTTCCTTTCCCAAGAACCAAGAAGCTGCTGCCTTTTTAAATAAAGTTTTACAGGATACCTTTTTCTAGAATTGAAGCACGCACACCTGCTGTTACTCACAAGCTTCACAGAGGAAAAGGGTGACAGTGTGAGGAACATAACAGAGACCAAAATGGAAACTTACCTTACTCATGTCCTTTGGAGCATCTGGTAACACACCAGATCCATATTTTGCATTTAGCTGAGCAAGGATGGCAGCTTGGACAGCAGGATCTCTGGACTGCAAAGGCAAAATGTCAGAAGAATAAAAATAAAAAATTACTGCATTTAAATTCGCAAGAGCTGGAACTACATTTTATTGAAACAGTGAATCTAAAACCATAAAAGACTGCATATCAGTTCGCTCAGCTTCCAGAATTTCAAAAGGCTACCGAAATCATCCTGGTTAACTGACACTAACAAACTAAAAATCATCTTCAGAAAGCTTTTATTTGGAAAAATCAGAAATACATTTCCTAATTATATGGCTGGTTTCTGTAACTACTCTTAATGCTACTGTAATATGCATTTGCTTTCAGCTTACAGTTCTGGCTGAAACACTCTACTAGAGAGAAGAAATCTTTAGAAGACTATTTTCTTTACTTAATAGTTCTCTAGCACAATAAAGCTACTCAGTTACAATTCTTTTCTAATAAAGAAGTATTTCATTCAAGCCCTGCAATAGAATTTCTCTTTTATTTCCTTGCTGGTTTGAGGAGACTGATGAGAGCCAACCTGAGCAGTTGTTTTTTTAGGTACCTACGCCAGAACTACATACTATTCCACAACAGACCTCAACAAGGCCAGATTACTTAGAAGGAGGAGGTTGTTGCCTTGTTATTCATCAATATATGTTATTCAGTTATATATGGAGGGACTGCAGTAGAAGGTTTTGCCACAGTATCACATGGGAAGTTTATGTTGAATTACTTCATCCATCACAGGCCCAAAATGTCTGTTCTCCTCTCACCTTTGACTGATTTTTCAGGAAACTTTCAGCTAACTAAAAGTGAAACTCACACCTAAAGCAAACTGTCTTCCCAGAGCTAACTAAATCTGAGTAATTCAACATAGATGAACTCACGAAGTCTTCAATCATGGTTGCTTTTGCAGTACATACCCACATCACTTATGTCCTTCACACTGCATTAAAAAAGAAGAGGGACCAGGATCTCACTCAGCTGTATCTCACACTGGCATTCAGGGCGTTAATAGCACATGGCACAGTTGGGAATTCTGTTCCTACACTCTGCATTACATTGGTTTCTGTTTTTCAGCAAATTGCCTCAACTGAACTTAAGTATTACACTCACATTAGACACTATTGTGGGCTTGCACTGCCGCCTAGTAAAGGGGTCCATTTGTTGGTTTTTCATGCTGTGACTTTCAGCCTGGAGAAGAAATAGAACATGGTTTTGCAGAGTTTGCCATTTGCACTCTTTTAAATCCTCCCACAGCCCCCATCCATGCAATTACTCATTTGCTATATACAATACCAAGATCAGAGAAAAAACAGCAACATTAGAGATTAGAAAGATTTTAACACACCCAGCACCCCACTCTTCACAGGACAAAACTGTCCTTATTGCATACAACAGAAAATAGGCACACAGCTCTCAGGATAGTTAATGTTTAAGCATTTGTTAACAAACTTAACTCTTCCTCAATAAAAATGTAACTACAGAGAAGCAAGTATCTCCTTCACTGTTTTATTATCTGAAGTTTCCTTTATGAGGATACTTATCTTTTCCTTCCCACATAAAATGCATTAAGCCACTCTAATAGTGACTAATCTGCTGATAACTGAATTGAGCAAAAAGATAAAGCAATGTGCTTTAAAATCACGCCATTTGCCTTTACAAAAAATTTTACAGATAATTAAAAAATTTAGTAACTTTGCCACGCAATTATCCCTCTTTGCATCATTTCATCTCTACTTGTAGGAAAGTATTAATTCAGCACTATTTACCACAAGAGCCTTCTCAGACTCAACGATATTCCACTCTCTATTTCTCTGGTTGATGTAACTGCAGAATGGAAAAAAGAAGGGTGGGGGAAAGAAAAAGAAAGTGACTGTCATTTATCAGTCCCTACACAAAAAAACACCTGAAAGCATTCTTGCAGCTTTATCCTGACCACAAATTACTCTTATTGCAACGCAACTGCCCCCTGGGGTATATAGAAGAGAATTTACATTTTTGACAGTTTTAACTGCATGAGAGATACAAGAAAGTGAAGACAGACAAGCACTAAGAGAGCTATTAAAATACACATCAACACACTGTACAGGAAAAAAAACCCAAAATCCTGCAGTTATTTGTTAATGCATTAATTTCTCTTTTTTAAATATTGTTTGATACTATTTAAGAAAGAGAATTCCCAATATCTGCTTCCTACCTGATTGCAGAAATATTTTTTGTTCGTTGACGATCCAGGGCCTCTGCTCTCTCTTCAAGTTCATTAAGCTGATCTTGAATCTGCTTGGCCTTATCTTGGTCCCCCAAGTCCTCAGCCATAGCCTTCAACCAAACAGTAACTCATTAGGCACTACTCTCTACTCAGAATTACTCAAGGAGACAAAGGATAGATCTGTGAATCAGTCAGCTAACTCTGTTCCAGTCGTGAAGGTTCTTCCCTGCATAGTAAGCGTTCAACAAAGAGCTACACTTTCCTTACAGCTCAAGGCAAAACTGGATTTCTTATTCTGAAGAACTCTGAAAACCCTTACACGAAGGAGGATGTAGGAACACCAGTCCCAGCACGAGGAGGACAGGTCTGTTAGATGACTTAAGTTACAAGTTTTTGTTATAATTTAACATCCCCATTTAGCACATCAGGAAAGGAATTATTTCCACAACTGCCAGTTGCCGTTTACTGCAGGGAGCAGAGTCCCCTGAGGCACGACAACAGCTTATTGTGCCACCTGGTGACAGCAAAGAGCAACTGCAGTCCCTGGGACGGGAGCCTAATCATTTACATGTTCGTGTACAGTAAAACAGGGACCACAAAAAAACAGTTAAACCAAGGAACCAAGAAATGTATTTCAATGCAAACTCTTGGGCTTTACTGTGTATGAAGCTTTAATGTCTCGAGAAAGACAAACAAATTTTGGTTCTGTTTATGCAGTCCTATCTTCAGAGATACTTCAGACTGTTTGTTTTCTTCACTTCTAGGCTTTGGCTTTGATGCACTGTTAGGTTTACTTGTTCCAGGAGGACTAAAGGTAAAAACAGTTCATGAGAAGTAAATCTTTCGGCCACTTCTTTGTTTTCACTATAAATTATCAGCCATAAAGTGACAATTCAGTTACCCCTGAGTAAAAAATAATGTAACACAACTTCTGTTTTTCCTATCTTAAAATAAGAAGAGGAAATCAACTTTCAAACATATTATGAGGTACTCTAAAAACAAAACCAAACACAATCAAAACAAAAAACAACAAAACTGACCCAAAAAAAACAAAAAGAAAAAACTAAGAAAAAAGGAAAAGTTTCTGAGGCAGACCAGTTTAAGACCTTGCTCAATGGACACAAAAAGAGATGGCTTAAATTGTTGGCAATTGCCCCCCCCGCTATAAAAAGAGTGCAATAGCTGAAAGGATTGTGGGTATTCTGACCTCAGCAATGAACCTTGAGAACCACCTTTCACCTGCACAGTTAAAGTCCAGCTTACTGCTGACTACTGCCAAAACCCAGATGAGCTTCAGGGCTTCAAAATCAGACTGCATTAAGCTTGCAGGCATCTCATCTCTCACCTTCTCCTTTAATAGCTGAGTTTTCTTCATGGCATAGTTTGGAGGTGCTTTTCTGAACCTTTCCTTCTCTTTCACAATCTGTAAGATGCAGAGGAAACAACATGAATACGCAAATATGAAATCTCTATTTCAGTACTTGGACACTAGAAGCAACAGATGAGTATCACCTAAGAAATGTATTTATTGCCACTGAATTTGACATATGCTCTGATGGTTGTTTTTTAGTTTGTGCCTTTGATAATGAGTTACAGCTCCATTCTCCTCACTACCTACAAACACCTGATGTTAATCACCTTTGTATCAAGTACAAAACTTGTGATAAATGCAACTACCATGCTGCTGTCAGTTTTTCAGAACTTGAGAACTAAGTTGCCATACTCAGGAGTTCAGAGCTATGCTACACAAGTTCAAAAGGAGATTACAGGGCACAAATGATAGAGAAAAGCAGGAGTGAACACTGAACAACAGCAGGATCACCAAGCTACTCTATCCAGTTATGAAACTTCCTTTTATTTCCTTCTTGGAAAGCAAATTATCATGATTATTTTGCTTTGTAACAGCTACTGCTCTACTGCGTGATTTCTGTCATTTTTAAGCACTGACACAGCTTTACTACAATGCATCATTTACCTCTTCAATGTCCTGATCATTAAACTTGTAGTTGAGAGCTTCTTTGATGGACACTTCCTTCTTGTTTATCTCATCTAGTGTGGGTAGCTGCATCCCAGCAGAGAACATCTAAACATGAGACAGAGTTACTTTCCACTCAAAGTATGCTTGGCAGAAGGCTACTAAGAAGAAACTGAAGTCTGGCAAACTTACTGCTTCCTTCCACTTCATAAATTCACTTTCAGTAAATTCCTGATTTGAGACAAACTCCAAGCGAAACACACGTGAATCACTGCCATGCCTGCAACAATAAAATGTAAAATATCCTCTTGTGATGGCATAAAGTGGTGACATTGGATCTATATGTATAAACTGATTAAAAAAGCCCAACACCAGACAAGCACATGTCAACACAACCATAACTCCCTGCACAAATTTCTTCGGGTATTTTACAATTTCCATTATGCACAAGGAGAAAAAAAAAAAATCAAATAAACCCAAGCCAAACATTCTAGTATTAAGTACTGTGACAAGGCTCAGTCTACTTTTCAGTTCCCCCCTCCAAACCCCACACAGAACATTATTTGCTATGAAAAGGACACATTGATGAACTAAGGAGGATTCCTGTAGTATCTTACCGCAACTGAAGTCCTTTGTTTGTCCGTGTGCCACCAAGCTGGTAAACCTTTGCAGTCTCTACCACGCCAGTTATTTCAGCAACCTGTACCACAGAGTAAAATATATCAGAAGAAGGATGTAAGAGAAGTTGTTTTTTTTCATGTTCCTGAAATGTATCTGGCACATCCAAGCCTCTTCACTAGAAATAAAAAACCTTAATCTAGCTAACAATTCTAACCAGATCAAGGAAAGCAAGACTCTTCAGTCTACATTATCAGGTACTGAATGAGTTGCTTCATATATAAATTTTGAGTTAATAAATTATAAATTATCTGAATCCTTGATGCACTTTTTTCTAATCTTCTCAGCTCTGCCTTCCTGACCAAGTAGTATACACTCTCCTATCTTTCCTATTTCCTACTCAAATAATGTTGTTTGGGTTAACATATGTTCCAAATGAAGCACACTATTGCTGCTCACATACTAAACACAGCCCTTCTGGGGGCCTTTTTTAATGCTGTTACTGAGACTATTATTGTTTCCTATGATTACAGCAATGAAACAGAAAAACAAAACTGTGTTCCCAACCAGTCTCTTCTGAAGGCACACTGGTGTACTAGAAACTTTGTAAAAAAGGAGTCAAGACCACACAATAACTTGGGAAACAGTCCTAGAAATAAGGAGTGAATCTTACTCATCCTTACTTGGTCTAAGCAGAATCTGAAACTCTAGTCTGCAATACAAATGATAAGACAACATGAACCAAAGCTGGAAGATCAGGCTTTGTTAGTGCTCCCTCCCTCTCACTAAATTTATCTCCTCTCCTAGGTGGTCACAGATTTATTTATTTTTAAACCAGTCTCCTCACCTCTTTGGCAGCAATTACATTTTCTGGTTATAAGCAATCTATTTATACCAGTCAAACAGTCACAGTACCTGAGAACCGATAAGCTGCAAATATTTTATTACAGCACAAAAAAAAGAACTAAATCCCTGAGAACTAAACTCACCCGATAAACAGGTTTACTGTTGTGATTGCCAATGCCAATACGGACAAAGCAACCAGTGACTGTCTTGGCAAAGAAGGGCATGTGGCACCAGCGCTCCAGCTTGTGCCGCGATAACCGCACTCGGTTCAGCTCTTCAGGCAAGGACACCGGCTGGGACTTGGGAGGAATTTCTTCTTTCCTGATTTGAGAAAGGTGAGAGGGGATAAAGAAAAAAGTTGAGACATAATCAAAACCCAAAAGGGAGGTCCTGATTGAGGTGCAATGTGAGCACTGTTTATATTACCAGGAATGATTCATCATGCATTAGTTGACTGTAGATGTGTGAATTTAACATTCATGAGAAAGATTCAGTGTGAAGTCCTAGACTTATTAAACACTGCCCCTGCTACCAGAAAGCAGAAAGACACACACCAATGCAGTTTATAGACTAATGCTTTAAGATAAGCCAGCACATGTATCTGCCCAGATATGTGCCAGAGCTCAGCAGCTGCTGAACTTGCAGGACTAAACAAATCAGTAAACACAGTGTAATTTGGGCTAAACCTGACAGCAGGGAACTGAAGCTGCAAACCCACCCAAGGTAAATGAGTCCCACGAACCACAATATAGGTCCAAGGATTCAAATCTGAGCAATGCAATTGTGCCCAGAGGCAAAACCACTTTAGAGACACCAAACTGCTCCAAACAATCTTCTAAAACAGCATGTGTTACCTAAAGTGGACCTTTATTTTTGAACATATTTACAAGTAATCATAGCCCAGTGTTTACTACTTACTCTTCCTCTTCATCAGAGGATGACGATCTGGATGAGCGATCACTTTTCTCACTAGACTTATCATCCTCTTCCTCCTCTTCATCATCAGAGTATACTTCACTAGTTTTTAATGGCTGCTTTTTTGCAAGCAATTCAGCTGGGAGAAGGACAAAGAACAAGGTAAAGCAAGCTATAAATATTTTATGAAAGCTTCCCTATAAGAGCTGAACCTTAATTGCTTAAAAAAAATCCAAGAGGCAGACAGGTATTAATTTTACACTAGATACAGGTGGCACATGTTCAAATCCACTAGTAAGCTGTGCACTTCATTGACTTCTCTCTTTGCATATACATGAAGTATTTAAAATCATTCTAAATCTCAGTTGTACTTATTTTCAGTCTCCCAACTTGACTGCACACAGTAATTCAAGATGGGTGTAACAACTAGATATATAAGAAAAAACTATTATGATCAGACAACTCATTATTTTACAAGGAAAAAGAAAAAAATCTCATGTTTGGAGAGGATCAAAATAAAATCCAGAAGAGCAAAAAAAATGTTTGCATCAAAAGTCAGTGGCAAGATGGACAAGATGATGTGCCAGTGAAGAAACAAGTAAATGTAGACAGGATATCACAAGTACAATAAGTAGGAGTTTGAATGATCCAGAGATTAAAAACTTGAATCTAAGTGACCAATTCAGACACATTAACTAAACCTTACTAAGAACCATTCAGTGGACTGTGATGAAAGTTCTGTTTTTAGACCACTCCAGAGAGGGGTAAGGATGAGGAATACAGCATCAGTGGTTGCCAAATATCACCCTAGGTGGTCACGTTGGGCAAAGACCAAGGAAAAAACAGACATGGAATTCATTCACTCCAAGGTGTAGGAATGTTGCATTACTTTGAAACAGGAAGTAGCACTTTAAGAAAGCTGCAATAATGTCTCAAAAACTGCAGCAATAGCAACATGCTTTTATACCTGTTCTGTTCTTCCTTTTCTCTCTTTCTGCTTTTAGCTCCTCCATTGCCTGAGATTTCTTGTCTAGCTTTTCATCCCGCTTTGATCTCCGCTCTTTGTTATGTGACATGACCTAAAAACATGTACAGAAAATCCCTCAACATCACAAATCCATAAGTTGAAAAGCATTTAAACAAAGGTTATTTAAATACTTTGAACATTTTTCAAATAGAAATTACTAATGTACTCCTTTTTGAAATCAGTTTTTTTCAGTTCATTTTTTACAGAGGATAGAGAGGGAAATCAATCTGGAGCATATTTCTTTATTCTGCTTCATATGAAAAATAATGAACATATTTATAGTTCGACATTTGTGCCACCAAGTCTTAGTCTCCAAATTCCTCCTTAAAGTTAAAAAAGTACTAGAGAAATAAAATAGAAGTAAGTCAGAAAATAACATGTAATGAGGAAAAACTGGATGAATATTATTCTCATTTGCTGCTTCTGCAAGGCCAAATCAAAACACTAGTTTTCATTTAATAGAAAAGAAAAAAGTTATGTTTAAAAATACTTAAAGCAGAAATAAAGCTGCTTGTAAAATCTGCAAGATGGATCCAAATCTTAAATGTTTTCAGTCCTCTTGTGTGTTCCATTTCTAACAGGTCTATCTCTATAGAGAAAGCAGCCTCTATAATAAGCATAAAAGACAGTCATCCGAGCTAAGCTGAAGTACTTCCTGCAAGGCACTGTAAAAGAACTCTAAATAAGATCCTTTTACACATGCATATATGTATTTGCAAGTACACTTTGTGTATTATAAATGCACTAATAAAGTATACACATATGTACATATATGGAGTTGAGGGAGTAGGAAAATGAGATTTATTCTGGCCAGCATGTGCCTAAGGGAAAACTCATCTCACCCAATTTGATTATAGGTGCTAAACATCTGTTTCACTAGAAAATAACATGGAGTGAATTGTCAGCTGAAGATGCTCTCTTCCATTGCACAAAACAATAGGCAACAAAAAGTGTAAACAATCAACTGGGTTTTAGATGGCTGATTTTAGGCAAGACAAATCCCACCCCACGCTGGGAGCCTACCTGCCCTGACTCTACATTAATGGCAGATCTTCACTATTTGAAACCACAGTTCAGTTACAGAGGCCTGGCCTCAGAAACTGGTGTTGCCCTCTTTTTACTGGAGGTGGAAAAACTATAGAACTACTTCTGCTCCTCCTGGCATTCAAGCTTTTCCTTGACATCCCTGCCAGAAGAAACTAAGCATTTTTTCTACTGTATGTATGTGCATGTTGAATGATTAATATGACAGTTGAGCAGTTTTTGGTCTGCTCTCTCAAACTTTTCATTCATGTATGGAATGTTTCAGACTGAACAACAGAAGTTTGGCTAAAGGAACTGTAAAAGGCTGCTTTCCTTTTCTCATGTGGGAGGGCTATCTCAGTAACTCCAGACATAGCTGCAGCTTTGTATTTTTCATTAAAGGAGTATCAATCACCCCTCAATAGGCCAAAGATGTTAACTTCCTTAAATGAAATGGAAAAACTGAAGATAGCTTGAGTATATAAATTAACTAAATTCTGATCTGCTTACTACACCGTTTGACATTAAGGGAAAACATTAGGGGTAGAGAGGCCATATCCTATCTCCTTTTGCCGAGGGAAAAGGATTTATAACCAAGAACAGTTTCATTTCCTACCTGGGATTCCTGGATCTGTGTGAGTTTTTTCTTCTCCTGCTCTTCCTCTTGCTTTTTCTTTTTCTCTTTCTTTTCTTTCTTTTTTGCTGTTTTTAGTTTTTTCTTGATTTCAAATCTAGTAGCAGTTATTGGAACAAAAACAATGTATGAAAGAATGCTCTTCCTGAGAGAGCAAAGGATTGCTCAGATGCTATCACAATTACTATCAGGCTGTAAGGAACACTTCAACTGCTTGTCCCTTTTATGTTATCCTGTCCCCTATTCCCATCCCCTCCCTTCCCCAAGAAAATAAAGTGAAGAAAAGCTGAGCACACAAGTGCAGTCCTACAGAGAGCTAACCTAAAGGGTTGATGAGACCATGTAGAAATTACTATTCCACAGAAGTATGTCCTTACTCCATTTTTCTCTTGCCAGTGCAGCAATCATTGCGTGCTACCTCCAACTCTAAAATCATATGGCTATTTCACATAATTTAAACCTAAACAGCTAGAGATTTTTTCTTTAAAGTCATTATCATGCTCTTTCACGCTTAAACTTCACCTTTCTGCCAGCACTGGTCTGTATAAGAATGACTACAATGTTTTGGGGAGTCCTCCTTTAGCAGCAAAATTCTCATCAGACTCTGTTTCTGCGGAAGAATTTAGGCACTTTCATGTCTACCTTCATGAAATATATCACCCTGATGTCTTGTTTTCAGCAACTGCATTCAGAAAAGTAGTAATTTCAATGGAACTGAGATTCCACTGCACCATGGACTGGTCACTGCTTTAGTGAAGTGTGTATATGGACATACACAAGAAAAAAAAATAACTACCAATAACTGAAATTCAAAATGTGTCATCCATTAACGTGCACATTACACAGTCATTCTTCTTCAGTCCTTTACACCTGGCTTTGTAGACAACAAACTGAAGTGTCAGATGAGCTCATTGCCCTTTATGCCTTTAACATGAAGCATAACACACAAGGCAAGGCATTATATCAGATGCAATGTCTGCTGTAATCCCATTGAACTCACAGCATAATGTGCATACAAAGAGCTTTTAAAAGATTCAACTTACCACGAAGTTAAATGACTACCCCATCACCCCCTTAGTTCTACCTGCCAAGCCTTTACACAGAACAGCACAAATTCACTTAAGATTAAATCAGTAACTCAAGCTTCAATTGTTTAGCTTGTCTGCATCAAATATTCTCCAGCATTCACTCTAAAACAGAGACATTCAGTAACCACAGAAGAGAGAGTAAAATTTGAAAGATATCATTCTACATGATCTAAATCCAAACTTGCAATCATTCTGATCCCTTTGAGGAGAGCAGCAGACCACATAAGATTCTGAATGCAGTGTTAAAATCAAGGCAGGCAGTGCTCTAGCTATGGCTTGGACAAACACAGTTTGGCACTTGCTTGTATTGACATGATTTACTCAACAGATGTCAGTCCTCTAGGGAAATTTCTCAGCAAGTGAAAAAAGAAACAGCACTAAAGAATAAAGAAACTCGAGAAACCTTGCCCCATACATGCCAAATCCTTTCAGTTAAGATACATGGGAAGCAAAATACCTTTACTGCAAAGAAGTTGCCTGACTGGACAGTGTAACAGCTACAGACAAACAACAAAATCACAGTACATATGGTAGAAATCCACAAAAGATTCCATAAAAATGACATATCCAGCACCACTCCTTATATCAGTATCTCTATCTTCTATTAGGGCCCAAACCATATACAGGCAACTCTAACACTGAATTGTGCTTCACCATTGTTTTCTGAAAAATTCCAGGAATTCATGTACACCTTATGCTTTGTTTGCCTTTTCCCAAAGCACCAGCACGTGACAGTTAATACAAAAAAGACAAAGAGAAGCAGGCCTTCAGGCTTCTAACCTATGGAGCAGTAATATAACTACAAGGGTAGCTAGCAGAACCGTGCATATTCAACAGCTGAGGAACTTTTAGATACTTTCTTCTTCAAGAATATGCAGAACTCCTGCTGTGTGCTTCTTTACTACAGGGACAGTTTACATACAAAAAACATACAATCAAACTTATCTCACTTAACAGTGCTGAAAGCTTGGACCTTAAACAAGAGAGCACAGTCAGCATACTCTTCTCTTTATGCAGCCTTTAAGAATTTGCTACCAAATATCAACAGATATAAAATTCACCTTCTCTTTAGCACTTCTCTCTTCTCTATCCGGTTAAACAGTTCCTGCTCTCTCTCTTTTTCTGTCATTTGTTCCAATCGAGCTCGGTCTTCCTCATCTCCCATCAGGTCTTCTCCATAGCCATCATGGAATTCCTCATCTTCAGATGAAGAATCTGAATCTGAGCTAGATGAGGAACTGTTGCTTTCTGAGTCAGAGACTTCTCCTAAATCAAAAATATAAGGTAATGAGAAATCAGCTGGGGCAAAGCCCAACCACTTCATTATAGTATATTAGCAAGGGGTAGTACAAATTAATTTTACACTCGTCTTCCACTATACTAAAAACATTCGTAACATGAAAATTAAGGCCAGGTTGAAATTACCATAATATATTTATGCTAAAAAATGATAAAATGAGTGGTACTACATTTGAACACAAATTGGGTTGTAATTAAAAATTCTTGGTAGAACAAACAAATTTAAAAGGCCTTTTAGTAATATGTAACAGTCCTAAAGTTAGACTTCTATGCCTATATGCTTATGTATCCGACAGGTTCCTTACACAGCCGTGAGTTTGTGTGTGCACACCTCAAACACCATGAGCAACCACCACAGAATTGCACAATTAACCACCTCATTATAGCAACCCAAAGGACCAAAATTCGTCATGTGAAGACTGCAACACTATGAATTACTACACCAGGAGGTAAAGTTGAAACCAATACCCTCAGGGCTGGCAAGGCCCCATTACTGTAACAAGCTCTCCCACATACACAGGAGTTTAGGGAATGGCTGACTCCCCAATACTATTGGCTAACACCACCTTGAAACTTGATCCAAGCCCAAGTGCTTTGATCACCTCACCTAATTGACTAAATTACATTGAATTATGGAAGCAGGCCATTAGGATTCCTTCCTTTACTTCCATTCTGGGATTAGCATTTCTGGAAACTTCCAGCTTTGCAGGCTTGCACTGTGAAAACCCTTGATTTGTAAGCACTGATATATACAGGTGCAGTCACTCCATGCCTTTGTCTGTATTTGCTGTGCTTGATATACTTAAAACTGTAAGCTCCTTCATATGCTTTCTTAATTTCCTTTTTTAGTATCAATGTAAACTCAAGTAAGCACCTGCAAGCCTTCATGGGCATGATGAAAACAGAAGACAGGAGGTTTTCCCAGCACTGAAATGTATTCAATATTCATGTAAAAAATTCTGACAAAGTTACAGAATGGTTTTTCTTCTTCTGTGTCAGTATAAATGTGCAAGAACTCCAATTCAGAACAAACGCATGCAAGATAAGCTCTTATTTGCATCACAAACACCATATACCTTTCTCTTTGTTATCACAAGAAGTTTGGGATGGGAATCAATGAGAATAAAAAATGCTACACATGGGTAGATAGGACATGCTAGAAGGAAGAAAGAAATTTTCCAGGAGAAAGTCAAGCAATGAAATATCCTTCATTCTTCAGTTCAAATAGCATTTAGTTTGCAGTTGTAATGGAGTGCTCACAGCAATGCTATACTGAATTACATGCACTTCAAGCCACAGTAAATTTAAAGTTACCCTGACTGTAAGCTGCACAATGAAGTCCTTGAAGATGGTCTTTGACATCAGCACACAACATTACTCTTCAGGGTGCACAACAGGTAAGTTCACTGGGAATCACACTAAATAAGTGCACGTGTGTTCTCTTACCCTCCTCAGGTGCTGAGCTCTCAGCTGAGCTGTCTTTATCTGAGCTGCCCGAGGAGGCAGCTTTGTTCATCTGTTTCTTCATGGCTCCTTTCTTCTCTGCCTTACCCGCTTTTCCCTTTTTTTTGTTTTTAGAACCTCCAACAGTCCACTGCAAGGAAAGAATCAAGAAAGGGATCGTGAGACACAAACATCACTCTCTTCTCCCTTCTCCTTTCTCCAGAACACTGGAGTAAAACCAGCTGAGAAATAGCCAAATACCTGACAGAAAAAGAACCCCAAACATATAAGTGTAAAGAAGAGGGGGGGAAAAAAAAAAAGAGAAGCCAATAGAAAACTTATCTTGGACCACTAATTCATCAAAAGCAGGACACAGTGCAAGACTCTTAGGCTCATAAATTAGAGCCCTTTACAAGGTTTTTGGGAGTAGAGTGTTGTGTGGTTGGTTTAAGTTTTTTTTTTTGAAAAAAAAGAAACTCCTTATAAGAATTGGTAGGTCATTCCTTTTAAAAGATAATGAAGACTTCAAAGTTGGCAGTATCTGCCAAGGGAGGTGGTATTGAAAATATTTTCCTAAGAAAATAATTTTAAATAATATGTCCATGTGTTTGTAAAGATTAGCTTCAGTTTACTATTAAACAGAAGCAATTGATGTTTTTCTAGAACTAGTTGAATCAGCAGCAGATTTTACATTTCATGAAGGACACCAATTATACATAACAGCCTTTTCAAAATCTTGGTTTTACCAAAAGTACACAGTGTCTGTATTTCTATGCAACAAGCCAACAGTACACTCATAGATGCCCATGGTGGCACTACTCCCGATGTACACGAAGTGGAATCAAATCACAATCATAGGAGTCAGGAAAAAAAGGAAAAAAAATACTGTATCAAGCCCTAATTTTAAATTTCTTTTAATGTCACATTTTCACTTACCTTAGACCACAGTTTCCAAGTACATGCCTTAAACTGCCAGACATACAGAGAGAGCCATTTTATACCCCTAAGTCCCAGAAGAAGCAGTATTCTGTTAATCACACCTTTCACCTACACACACCTACACAATTATAGTAACCACACCTTGCACTGTGATTTCTTAATAGAATTTTTACATTGTTTCAACTACCGAGGTAAAGCCAGAAGGGAGTAGAAGCAATAAGGATTGCCCAAATATCCTTAAAGGCTTTACAATATTTTGCACTTCACCACCTCTCCTAGAAACTCTCCAGGCATGAGACCCTCAGGAATATAACAGGCTTTTAAAATACATATATATATATATACACACATATATCCATAAATCCTCTAAACACCTGTATATTATTCTCATCTTTCATGCACATCTGGTTGAGCATGCAGTTTTAAAAAAACAGTCATAATGCAAGTGAGCAAATACAACTGTGCATAACTGAGATATTGCACTCAAAACTACTCTAAGTGGGAAAAAAACCCCAACACTTTAGATTTGACCTCAGATGCATACCAACTTCAGGCTTCTTAGCCAATCACCCTATCCTGGGGGATGAATCAAGTCTATCTCTGCAGGTAGTAATCATTCCATCAAATTTGATAAATTGTTCTGCCTGATAAGACACCATTCTCAGAGAACCCTGGTGTTCAATTAGTCTAGATGGAACTCAAGCAAGTAGTTATAAGCTACTACCTAATCTAATAATACCTGAACTAATACTTTTGGAATTTCCCAGGTTTTGATTACACTCACCCCCAACCTTGTACTCTCCATATTATCAAATGCTTCATCATGTTCTTTAGGCACCATCAGAGTATTCAAAAGTCTCTGTAAATGCAAAAGTTCCTTATTTTTTTATTCCTGAGGTAAAACTACAGTGGTGAGCCTTGCAATTCATACCCTATGCAGGTACCCCAGAGGCTGTTATGGTCCATAGGACGGGTGAGAAACTATACAAAAAGCTGCTGACTTTATACCAGGCCAAGCTTGTACTGAAGTTTTTACTGGCTTCAGCATTAAAGTTTTACTTCTTCAGTGTTACAATATTGCTGTCTAATATTATTTCTGGTTACTATGATCCTATAAATCAGTTAAGAACAAGCTTGCACTCTGTCTAAATCTACTCAAATCTCAGCACTAAGGAACCATCTCTCAGGTGAACAGAAAAGTGCATTTTTGCTATTTACTCAAATGCTCACCTACTGCCAGCACTCCAGAGAAGTCACAACAGCAAGAAAAGTGAAACAGCATTTAGCAGTGATGCAGAGGTGCCTCCCTCTCAGAGCTCTGCCACTTCTTTTCAGTGTTCTATTCTAAATTATATCTCATGTCAGCATGCTGCAAGGAAGCAGCACATGGAAAGCCACAGTACACAACACAGTTATATCAAGACCTTGAGAGGTCATGCTGAGATGAAAGAAGCTCAGATCAGATAAAAACCAGCAGGACTTCAGTGAATAAAATGTTTAATAGCTGTACATACATGTGTTACATAACACTGTTTTCAGCTTTTAACTCACTAGTAGAATTGTGGAGAAAACCTGTGACCAGGAAGATAGGAATGAAAATAAACCTATGTGACAAACACTTGGAACAAGAGAAAAAAGAAACAACAATCAAAAAAAAAAACCAAACAAAAAACCACAAACAAAATACCCCCACCCAAACAAAAAACCCAAACCCCACAAACAAACAAAAAAAACCCCAAAACCAAGACAAAAAAACCCCACAAACAAAAAAACACGCCACCAGAACCAAAAACCACCCAAACAAACCAATACAGGACAAGGTAATTAAAAAATCTACTCCCCAATCTAGGAGAGTGTGCTTTGGTTTCTATTTTGCCTTGGAAATAACACTTCATCTGACTTTTGTTTATGCAAGTGGCCTCTATGTCCATCTCCCAATTTCAGTGCTGTCACAAAGCCAAATTCTTACCCAACTCAGGTGCTTTTAGGTTTATTCAGTTACCCCAATCTCTCATGAATGCTTGGTCATTCCCAGAATAACTACAGGACAAGACAAGAGTTAGGGCAAATTTTGGATCACTATATCATCAAAACCAGGACACAGTGCAAGACTTTTAGGCTCATAAATTGCCCTGCATTTGCACACTGTCGCAGTTGTCATTTGACTTAATGACCTATCTGCACTGCTCAGAGAGTGGCCAACATGAATTTCTTCTTGTGACAGATGAAGACACAACAGATTAGCTGGTGTAGGAGGCAGAGGGAAGGCAATACTGGAAAGCTAAGGTCTTGAGGCCCTTCCTCATGCTCCAACACACCACCAGAAATCAAAAATGCAACACGTTCACAAGCAACATCAAGTCAAAACACACAGTCATAGTCAGAGACATTTCTTTGCTCTGTTTCCCTTAACTTCAAAGAACAATCACTTTCCAAAGTCTGTCCTCTAATGCAGTTTCTCCAGGTCCCTTCATCCACGCTGCAGTCAGGCAGCACCAGTCAGGGCTTCTCACATGCTGGCCACGGCTTGAACGCCTCCTCGGAACAGCCCCTCTATTCACCACTGCCTCCTCGGCCACCATCTGGAGCCCTCCACGGCTCCAGACACACCAAGTTAATAAACCCATGCACAAGTGTACTGGCTTTCTGCTTATTGTTTGGTACTACCAAACAACAGAGCTTTATGGCTCTCTCACAAGAAGCAGCCAGAAGAGCCTTTTGAATTTCCCTCTTGCTGCCAAGGTTCAAAGTGCTAATAGCTTGCATGTTTCCTCCAAGAAACTGTTTGGACATGATGATCCTAAAGGTCCCTGTTAACCTAAATGATTCTTTGCTTCTAAGAAGTCCTAATTAAGCCACAGTAACCAGAATGGACTTAGGGAAAAAAGCCCAACCCACCACATTAGAAATTACCTAAATTTATAAGTCAGCTTCTAAAAAAGCAACTACACAAAATGATTTAAGAAAATAATTTATAGCTCAGCAAACCTGGAACATATTTCCACTAGGGAGATGAAATGAGATCGTGGAGAAAAAAAAAAGAGAAAAAGAAAAAATTTTAAAAAAGAAAAGACCAAAAAAACCCATACCTGAAGTGAGCTCAGAGTGCAGAATTGTTTTATTGCTCAGGTAGCTGCTGTTTGCTTCTATTCACACAGTACCTAAATGCATTACACACTGAGATTTTGCAAGTAGGTGCAAATGTTCTCCCAGCTTTTTTTTAACCCCCTATCAAGCCAGAGATGCACAAGTAAGGTTGCCAGCCTGTCCTTGCCATATCCTTCCCTCCTTCCATATCCAACGGCTTTATAAGCAAAATGCAAGCTACAAGCCACAACGCCAAAGCAAAATAGGTCCCTTACCAATATGTTCCTTTCCAAGGCCAGATAAACTTCAGCTGTCCTGCTGTCATTGCATTTAAGTGCACCAAGGTAGGTAACATCAGCTCGGCTTACAAACTTTCATGCAATCATACAGGAAAAAAATAAGGCAGTCCACCAGGCCAGTCATGAAACTATGGTTTCAGCCTGTCTGAACTCAACATCAGGAAGCACAGATATGAAAATAAGGCAGTATTTACTGTCTTTAGGCTTTCTCAGAGCTTGGAAAACTCTACAGACAGCACTCCAAGAGCTTCAAGAAGGAAAATGCTCTCTACCACTACTTTTAAAACGAAATAGTAAATAAAAAGCCCCTGTGATTTATCCTGCCTTTCAGGATCTACATGTGCCATTTGAACACCTCAAACACCTTCATGATGACAACAGCCCAGCAACCAGAAAACTTCAGGAGCTATTTTAGACACAGAGAGGAAGCTCTAGGTGTCAAGACCAAAACAGAAAGGAAATAAGCAAATAAAGAAAACACCTTTGGAAGCCACAGAAGAGGCTTTGCTAGGAACTGGCTGAGAGAAGGCTTCATGGGCCAGAATATCACCAGACACCTGATCTACCCTTTTCATTCAAGTACTGCGCAAAGAAGCTCACAGAAATCAAATCCCAAGAAGTTATCCCCATGCTAGTTTGCAATTTAAAGAAGTTAGTTACAGACTAAATTTTATACCGATTTCATCCACAGCGTATTCACATTACTCCTTTGGACATGCCAGCCTTCATACAATTAGCTCGTGCTACTCAGATTTGCACTTGCACTTTATTTGGAGCAGATGAAGTAACACCACCTCTCTTCCTGGAGAAAAGCATTACTATTGCACCCATTAATAGCTGAAGGAAACAGCCTCCAGGAAAAGTCAAAGTTACAAAGCACACAGTCTATAAGCTGTGTATAAGAAGATTAAAGCATGGCCTGTTTCAAATTTCCTAAGCCTGAAAAAAATGTATGGCAAAGGCCTCAGGACTGGAGAACCCACTCATTCTTGAAGGTTTAATTAATCAGTATTATAAAATAAAAGCACACAGAAAAACGCAACTTTCAGCACTGTAATTTCTACAAACCCACAAAAAGACACCCCCAAACAAAAAGAACACATGCAGTATTCTGCTCATCTCTGCTTTGCTGGAGTGCTCTAACTTGAAGTGCAGTAAGGAGATACAAAGAGGCATAAAACCCTCTAGGCTGTTACTTGAAACGAATCTCTTCACTAGCTGCATCACTAATGCTCACCTCCTGCTCTGTCCCATAGCTCTTGACAAGATCCTCAGCTATACAGTTCCCTAACAAATTAGTACATTTGTAAAAAAAATGGTATAAACAGATAATCCTCACTTAACTCCAGAATAGTACTAAGCATTCATTATATGCGTTTTCTAGTCTTGGAAGGATATTCTGTCCTGACCCTGTAGGTGTTAAACGGCAGAACTGAACCCTTCCTGACATTAGAATAAGCTTACTTTTCAAGAGAAACAAAGAGGAGCTCCCATAGCATTGTGGCTTTCTGTCTAATCAACACTAATGTCAGTGAAGTTGCTGCAGAAGTCATCCACTCTTCACACACAACAGAATGAATTATCTTACTGTAAGCAAGGAAGCCAGAATAAAAGGAAAAGCAAGAGCCCAGAATTAACCTACTGCAACTGAGGAACATCATCCACCTAATGCCCTCAATCAATAACAAGAACACCTTGTGGACACACAAAACTCTAGCATGATAGCCCCAGGAGTAACCTGGCTAGCACCAAACTGGTCACATGCAGAAAGCTCCCAGTTGGACATGGTGAGCTCTTGGGCAGACATGGTGACACACCAGATAAAGGAGACAGTGTCCAGATTAGTACATTTCTTTGCAAAGGTAGCTCTTCCTATTGCAAAGTCCTGCAGTCATTGCTATTTATCAGCTCTCTGAACAAAAGTCTATAATAATTCAGTCAAGAATGCTCCACAGCTCCACCAGAAGACAGTTCAGAGCATCCCTCCTATTTCATTGTCTGCAACTCACTTTCAGTCCAGTGGCTAGGAGATTTGATTCAGACCACAGAGGTCCTTTAAGTGTTACAGAACTCAGCACCTGGGTGGGAAGTGCTTTCTCACTGATACACATAAATATAACATTAAACACTTAGAGACATCCCTTGGGCACTATTGCATAGATGCAGCTTAATTTGTACCTGCGATTATTCAGTGATTCCAAAATGTTTTTCTCTCCTTGATGCCCCACAAACTTTCCTCCCTCTAAAAGAAAGCAGCATGCTGCATTACACTCCGAAATAGAGATCTGGGCTTCTTTCCTGTACGTGCAACATAGTGCCAATCTTGGAACATTTAGTGCTTTCCAGGAATCACAAAGGACATGCACGCTGAAAAATGTCTGTGGAAGCACATGGGTATGATCAGGCACTTTTGCCCACGGCAACAATTTCCATGCTCTTGCCTCAATGTCTTCATCTTGCAGGAAGTCCAATAATAGAATTTCATCTTTTAGACCCTCCTATCCCAATTCCCAAGGCTGAACGTCAAACCAACCACAAAAATACTTATTAAAACCTGAGTTATTCATCAGGCCTAGTGTAGTCAAGCCCAGGGATGTACAGAAAGGAATGACTGGCAGAAGCAGAACTGTTATAAGCCAGCCACTCATCCTGCTGTGACAAGCAGCAGCTCAGAATGCATATTTCAGGAACAGGAATAGATTCAAGTGTCCTAATTACCTCTTCTCTAAATCTTTTTCCTCCTGCTGCATGGAGGTCAGAAAGAACATAGTATCAACTTGAAATGATACACAGATTAGAAAGAGTATCAAATTCAAGGGGTGCAACAGTAACACTACTGATCTGTACAAATTTGTGAAGAGGCATTGTCACGTCCTACACACAATGGAAAGGTAGACTTTATTACACAAGTTAAAATTCTGACAGCTTTCAGAGATAAACACAGAATGGAAGGCTTTATCATCCACATGCTCTCCACACCCAAGTCTACATTTTCCAGACAAGCTGGTCTCCACATAACTTAGAATAAATAAACTGTGAGCCAGCAGATTTGAACACACACGGTGACAGACAGTAGCTCCCCAACAAGAAACCTATTATATCTAGGTTGTTCACAATTTTGTCTGTCTCTATGTTTTAAAAGTACATTAGATATACAAGAAGCACTTTTTTAAAGAAAATGATTGATTTGGACAGAGTTCCAAGCATATTTATTTCAAAAATGCCTCAGAAAGAAAATGAAATTGCACATTCTTCACACTTATTGGAAGAACTCTGCTACACTAACAAATGTTTTATGGTTTATCACTGGCCTATCCTGTTAGTCTACAAGTTGCCACAATAGATAATCCTCACTGTTATTTCAGAAGAAAAAAAAATACAAAAACCCACACCAAATATCCCCCTGTCAATTTTTAAGAATAGGTGGAATAAATGACCTCACTATAATTTGCAGAAAGTGTGCAAAAGATATTTTGAAACTTTCCAGAAATTGCTTTTACTCAAATACCTGTATAACATCTGTCAGTGGCTATTTTAATAGGTGGGGTTTTTTTTAATTTTCTTTTCTAGATGCACAGGCTTTTAACGAGCTCTAGACTGTAGTACCAAGAGCAACTACTAAAAACAGAACCAGCAGATAAGCACTGCTATACAAGAAATTGAGAAACCTTAGAACAAAGTAATGCTGAATTCTTTCTTGCCTCTTTTTTCAAAGATGTTGATCAAAACACACCCTGTTGCACATCCAAATGGCCAGACAGCTAATTCACAGTACAGTTCTAGGAGAATCAAAGCAGCTAAATATAAAAGTTTTACTACCTGTAAAATAGTACTACCTGCCTTGACCCTTCTCTTAGGAAGGAAGCTCCACTCAGAAGGTGAAAACCTCTCTCCCTGAATTCAGAGTCCAGCTTTAGCAGCTTCACTACTACCTGAACTGCAAGCACAACACAGGAAAAACACTAGTTTAAAGCAGGCAGTTCACCAGATCATATGAACTGGGATTAAACTGGCAGTCATTTTTTACACAGACAGACTATATTGTATACAATTAGAATTCAAAACGCATTCATTAAAAAAAGACAAATTCTGGCCTCAATGGATCTCTGTCATTGACAGCCAGTCCCACGTTATGAAGTCAGCAGGCTAAATATACTGTATGATAAATACACTTCCACTGCTTAGGTATGATCAGACAAATAACCCAGAGCATTCCCACTGATAGCATGATAAACTCACCTCATCATCACTGTCTGATGTCTCAGAGTCTGAAGATGCTGTAGGTTTGCTCACAGGTGGTTCCTTTTCTTCAGAGTCACTGCGTTTCCGTTTGGCCAAAGACAGGAGCTCCTGGTGTAAAAACACACACATTTATTTCAAAGTGTCATAATTAGTTTTAACGATCCAGGTCAGTGCACGTGCAGGTTCTCTGCAACATCTGAGCACGTCTCAGATAGTCAGTAGCATGATTATTGCCACCTACTAAGGAACAAGTCTACTTAGTTTCTTAAATGTAGATGTGCACACACAATTTTAATACTGGCTGCTACAAAAGGATTTTAAAGATAACAAGCTATAAAAAGTAACTATTAGTACCATTACTTTCTTGGTATAACCAACGTAAGACAAATTACATCCAGAGACATGTCCAGATTTGTCTTACTTGGATTGGGTAATAATTCCAAACCACCCTAACTACACCATGAAGCATTAGCCTTAAAAAGCCTAATACCAGTAGATAGCAGCTTCTTCTAAACAACAGAGATGTTTGCAATTATACACTTTAAAGAGGAATTGCTTTTGGCATCACCTTTACATAATGGTTGGTAATATTTAGTCAGCCTGTTCAATTCCTTTTCACTGCTGGTACACACCCCAGAATGCACTTAAAGCTTTGGATAGACACAGAGCAGGTATCAAGCTCAAAGTCTGTTAAACTTAGTACAGCTGTTCTGCTCAAAAGGAAGCACTTTCACAGGCAACACACACTGACACAAAGAACTACATGGCTCTCAAATACTCTCATCATCTGCTGTTCATCACTTGGTCAGGTGACACAAGCAGTAGTACAAAACAAACATTTTTGAAGCTGTGTTACTGTGTATGCAGTCGGGGACACAGAATCTACTCTCAGAAACATTGCTCTGGGGCTGATGAATCTTAGCTGTGTGTAGAAATACAGCCACACCAACTGTTCCAGTCTTGGGAAGCTGATGCTCGATTGGGTTCTATTAGCTTCACAACTGGAAGATTATCTCAACAAATTGATTACAGTTTAGTACCTCAAATGAGAATATAAAACACTGAAGAAACTGATGGTCTGCCTACTTACCAACACTGAAACTTTTCATTAGTAATGGCATTTTACCAACCATTCTCTAAAGAAGCCCTGCAACATCAACATTTTACATTGGTACAATTAACAGATCTCCTCTGGAAGTTCCTGAAGAGGCTTCAATAGTGCTTCTCTTTGGGAAGCTCCTAAAGAGGAGCACCACTTTTATGCTAAGAAATATTCCTTCTTTCTTTCTTTCTACACTTGTTCACTGTTTTCCAAGATACTACATTTAAAAGGCTGCTAGACCTTAGATTCAACAAGCCTAGATTGCCACGGGAACTTGTCAAATGTTTATTCTACAGGGATTAACTCGGTATTTAACATTTAAGTCAGTATCCTCTTATATCAAAAGCATTGCTTCCCTGCTACCTGATATTTATCTTTGCACATACATCTCCCTGCTGTTACAGTTGCTACAAACAGCTCAGTGGAGGGGGAAGCACCTACTACATCAGCTGGAGACGATGCCTGCTGCCAGTGAGGGATGGAACAGATGCAGAACCACGTGGTTATTCCTACCACCATCACTTTGACAGTCTGACTGATGCCAGAGCTAGTCCAACTCCCATTTTCAAGTTCTAAAACTATCAAACTGATACACTAGCAACGAGATGTTGGTAGCCCTATGGACTCTAGAGGTATGCAAGATCAACCACATCAGCTCCAGTGTATCTGTTTTAACAGAGTATCTGACCTGATTTTTCTGAAGCCCCAATCTGCAAAAGTGTTTTTGACTGTTTGGGAAAGGCTTTTTATTGCAACATAGCAACAGCTTCTATATTAAAAACTCTGAAGGTTCAACACGTAAATTACATCAGACACGTTGGCTTCAGCACATTTGATCCGCCAAACTGCCAATACAAGCGGTAACACACTTCACCTATAATGTCTTTATTTACCACTGGAATCACACCATCGATAGCTGCTGCACCAAAAGGTGAGTCTTTGAAAGCAGCCCCCTCCAAAGAGAGAGACACCCCCTTTGCAACCCTGACACGGTTGAACTCACACCAGATAACACTTAGAACCCCGGTAGATGCTCTGAAGACAAATAAAAACACTACCCCTTCTTACATCTACAAGCTGGTTTCTCATCAACAGAGCTCCCCCAGCGCAGTCACCAAGATTGAGGGGGTCGCACTAAACACGCATTAACACTCCGGGAGCCCGGGATCTGACACGCTGCTCTCCCGGCGTACCAAAGTAGCATGGAAAAGTTGCCCAGCCCTTTGGGCCTCTTTCCCCACTACTCGAGGTGAGAAGACCACTGGCAGCCGGGCCTCCCTAACCCCTCCTCAGGGCCAGACCGCCCCGGAGCATCGCCCCGGAGCATCCACCGCCCGCCCCTCCGTCCCGCCGGCGCCGAGCACCGGGCCCGCCGCAAAGAGCCCCCGCCAACGCGGGCCTCCTGCCAGGGGCGGGCCGGGGACCCGCCGGAGGGACGCGGGCTCTCCCCACGGCGGCCGCGGGGCCCCATCGGGCTGAGGAGGGCGAGAGCGGCGCGGAAACACCGGGCGGGAGCGAGGGAGGGATGGCGGCGCCGAGCCTCGCGCGGGCCGGCGATCCCAGGCCCCGCGTTCGGGCCGGGCCTGCCCGCGCACCTGGTCCAGGTTCTCCTCGCTGCCGCTGTCCTCGGTGTCGGAGTCGATAAGGACACGGCCTTTCCGCTTCTTCACCATGGCGGAGCCGGCGGTGCCCCCTCCCCGCCCCGGCGGCGGCGGCGGCGGCGGCGCTCGCACGGCCCGGCCCGGCCTGACCCGCGCCGCCCGCCCGCCCGCCCGACACAAAGGGCACCGCGCATGCGCGGCGCGAGGGGCGGGGCGAGGGCGGGGCCGCGCCGCTGTTCCTTCTCGGAGCCGCGCGCTGTCCCCGCGGCCGCTCCCGCGGCGCTCGGAGCTCCGCGCACATCAAGGGCTGCTCCTCGGCCGCTCCCGCGGGCGGGACATCGGTGGCCGCCGTCGCTGCCGGCGGAACCGGAGCGGCGCGGCGCGCGTTCCCGGGCCGGCCTTGGCGCGGCGGACCCGGCGGTTGAAAGGTGAGGCGGTGTGAGCTCCGGGCTCTGTCGGTCGCGGAGCAGGAGCGGCGAGGCGGCCGCTCTGCGGGGAGGGGGTTCGGCCTCCACCCTCCCCCGTCCTGGCCTCAGCTCTGCCCGGCGGGCTCAGGCGTGCGGGCGGGACCCGGGCCCGGTGGCCAGGCCGCGGCGCAAGCGGAGCCGTGGCGGAAGCCGAGGCCTCGGAGCTGCCGGGCCGTGCATGGGGCTGGCGCTGCACCGGCCGGCTGCTGGAGCCTTGCCGGGGGACAGAGAGCGGGCTAAAGGAGAATGTGTTCACGTTCTCCCTTCTCTGCTCCTACTCGGGTGAAGCAATGAGGAGACAGGGTTTATTGACGGCGAGCTTGCCTCCGATCTTGTGACGTGCACGATAGAGCAAAATGTGAATTTCTTCAGTGTAGCTTTAGATATAACTTACTTACAGTGTGAGAATAACAGTAGTAAATTTTACCGGGAGTAAAGGAAGGTGAGTGACATATAGAGGATGTGAGTGCGGTGCCTGACTCCATTCTTTGAAGCTCAGAGAAATTGAATGCATGGGACATCATATTTGGTTTTGTTCTGTAGCATGAAAACAAACAACAACAAAAAAAACTCTGTCTAATTTTACAAGTAGGAGAAAATAACCTCTGTACAGAGCATTGAGCAGAGTTTTCCTGAAGCCTTATTAAAAAAACTCCTATTGAATTGCGGTCTTCCATGTTAAACCTTTTGGTCTTTGCAAATGTCTCTAATCCTAAAACAGGTATATTGAGGATGATTTGGAAGAAGAACGTGGTATGGCTGCTGCAGGACTTCATATTTGAAAAGTCTGGTCACCTGTGTTAGATGAGATTGTCATTTTTGTCTGTGTGGCAGCAGCATCTGCCTGTTGTGAATTTGTGATTTTCATGAAGGGAATAAAACTTTTTAGTTATATAGTTGTCATCTCTTTGAAGTCTGCATGGGTTGTTCTTGCTGGTATTAACCCCTAAACTTATTTACAGTGGAAGAGAAATGGACTTTCTTTTCTATTTTCATTTTTATTTGAAGTACTTTACTTGGGTTTTTTTATTTGCACGGGGATTTCATACCTTGAAGAGAGGGAAAAGCATGGGGTGGAAGTCAGTAAGTAAATTCAAGCTCTGAAGAAGTGTCATTCCTGATGACTTTTTTCATTCTGTTTTCCAATGACTTGGATTTCTAGGTAATATAAATTATAAAAGTTAGTTTCAAAAGCACCTCATATATAATTATTTGTACCCTTTTTTTCATTAAAGGGTGAAGATCAACTACAGCAATTACAGTAAGATAGCTCTAGAATACTAGTTTTGTTGGTAAATTAACTTTCAATCCATTAATTGCCTTACTGGATGTGAATTCTTCAAGTTACTGGGATGGCTGTGGCTGTGATGCTGCTGAATGGTGCTTCCTTCCACGGTGGATGCTGCAGGCACAAAGTTTTGCTGTCCTTACTTGGACCTCTCCTCAGCCATTCAAAATTGTACAGCAGCTACAGGAGGCCAGGGGCAGAGCCTGAGAAAAAACCATCTTGGCAAAATGTTGATTTCAGCTTTAAGAAGAGCATTGATCACCTAAAGACTCAGCTAAGCTTGCTGAAGAAGGAAACCCAAGATTACTTAAAAGGACCTGGAGGTCATCCAGTAAGTCAGCACTTGTTGGAACAAACGAGGGTGTTGTGGCAATTTAGGAGCCAAGAAGATTTAAATGAATGGGTTATTTCCTCTGATGTGGAGATTGGAGGGAAAAGTAAAGTTTACATCAAATTGGGCAGGAATAACCAGGCTGCTCTGCTGTATGGAACCCTCAATACAGAAGTACCTCGTGATGGGGAGACCAAGTACAGTGGATATTGCAGTATGAGGTCCAGACCGGCAGTGGTGAGTACAGGGCTGTGCTTGCACAGCTTCTCTTCCTGAATCTGGGGCTGTTTCTGGAATCCCAGTGAATGCAAGTGGCCTGCTCTTTACTGCTCATCACTTTCAGGAGTACTGCATTTTCTCTCAGAGATGTAATTGCTGCTGCACCCACTTTGACCTGGAAGGAACTGAAATATTTTCTTGGGTTTTGTTTTCCTTTCTTAGAAAAGGAATAATACATGTTTGATCGTTTACTTAATGTACAATAGATAGACCTGTTTGCAGCATCCTTACAAATGAAGGCTCTGCAATGAATCTTTATATCCAAAATTGATGTGATTAAAACAGACATCTTTCTAAATTTGAAGTTAATTGAATGTGTCATAAGTAAGAATTTTCTGGGCTTTAACTTGGCCTATTCATCAGACTTGGTTAGGGTGAATAAACTCATTTTCTTACGGAAACAGAAAACAGTGCTTTGAAATGTACTTTTTAAACGGTCTGCCTCCTACTGTACATCAGAAAAAGCAAGACAAATCTTGGATAGCTCAGAATTGAGCCAAGTAGAACGAGAAATGGGTGTGCTTATTATGGATACTGCTTGTTTCATCCCTTATTTCTAAGCACTGGATAAAATCCTTAAATATTTAATGTGTTCTCTTGTTTGTGTCTTGGCACAAGTACTCAGTAAAATCGTTTCTGGACCAGAATCTTGGGGAGGAGAGAATATGAGTAAACAAAATGGGTAAATGAGAGACGTATGAACACTGATTAAAATGGTGACATTGGATGAGATGAGTGGAGCAACAAGTGGAGTCTTGTCTGAGTTAAACTCTCAGGACTGCTACTGACCTGTGCAAATGTGACTCAAACTTTCACCTACTAATTCTGAAGTAGTGGAGTGTATCAGTCCATCTTTATTTAAGTAGAAAGGCTCAAAATTGTTAAAACCATAAAATCAAGTAGCTACAGGCCTTATATTTATATATTCATAATCTACTTACTCTGTTACCTACAAGATGAGTTGATAGAACAATAGCTGATAGGTAACCGTAGTAGAGCTGTAAAATAAAGGCAAAACATCTGAATTTTTGGTACTAATTTTGACTTCTTGGCAATTCTGGCCAAGAATAACCCTGCCTTTTATTGCTCCAAGTGACCTTAGTGTAGCTCTCTGAAGGCTCTTGGATATGCCATCATGCAAATGACAACATCAGGATTTTTCAGATCTTTGGAAAAAATGCCTTAAAGAATTAGACATGCTTGCAATCTTATTATTCTACACAGTTAATGAAAAAGAGAAGTTGGAGAAAGTTAAATGCTGCCAGTGTTCATTAGTCTTCAACTGGGAAATTATCAAAGGGGATAAATTATTTCACTGCTTCAATTTCCTGTTATCACTTCTGAATTATCTAGACTTGACCACAGAATATTAAACTTAGTGAACTACATTAGTGCTGATCTATCATTGTAGCATTTGTGTACTTTCCTGGTAGGAAATTCAGTCCTAGGAAGGAGATCTGATTTTTGATAGTTACAAGATTGTGGCTTATAATGAAAGCATGAATCCTCAGAGTGGCAATATTGTAATTTGTGGTTTCTGATATGGTGCTGAAGGAAATTCAGTGAGCTCAGCAGCCAGGGTGATGACAGAGTAGCTGTGTTCAGTGTGTTATAGTAAATATTATCTGACATAATAGCAACGGCAGTGATCAAAGCAACAGTTGTCTGTTCCTCATAATGAACGTGTCCCTCTATTAAGGAGGAATAATTCTATTTATCAATAATTTGTAGGGATCTTTTAACAGGAAGAAGTATTATGACTGGTCAAACTTCAACAGTCTGTATTTACGTGTCCGTGGTGATGGCAGACCTTGGATGGTAAACATTTATACAGACCCTTACTTCTCTCATCAAAAGGATGACCTCTACAGCTACTTCATGTTCACCCGAGGAGGCCCATACTGGGAGGAAATAAAGGTGAGCTAATGAATCTTTCAAACTAATGAGACTGCCTTGAGGTCCTGCCAAAATATTCAGTTTGTTTCTATTGCTGTCCACTCAGCGTTTTCATTATACAAGACATGTGCATTTGGTTTGGGAGTTCCCAAAACTGGACTGGGGGAGGGCACACTGTGTCAATTATATTAAAGAATTGATCCACCATATGTTCCTCTGAATGCCTACTGTTGGCTCTTACTGGAGTAATAGGATAGATACAGCAATTGAAACTTAGTGGGTATTGCCTGGAATATTCTCTGTGATAACCATTTTATCTGTAATAGAAATGGGTGTAGGCTGATGTAGGATTTTTTTCCATGCAACAGGATTTTCTTAGCTTGCAGCCTCTCTGGAGTCAGTCAGACTTAAGAGTTGGGGCTTTGTCATTTGTGACCCTTGACTCTGTGACACAAAATAATATTTTTAAGAAGTGTGAGTTGTGGCTCTTTTCTTGTGCAACTTGGGGACCTTTTGTAATTATCTGATGACAACAATAGGGAGGTTTGCACATCCTTATGAATTGGTATTGAGTGCTCCATGACACCATTGACCAATCATGTGGGAAGAGCCTGCTGTTCCACAGATGAGGAGCCAGAAGGATGAAAGTTGGAGTGTCGTTGCTGGCTTGGATGTTTTCCTCTCACCCTCACCAGCCAGCCCTGCTTTCTTGCTCCCACTACTTTCAGAGAAATTTTTACATTATCCTGAAGTGCTTTGCTAGAGATACTGATGGCTGAGTACAGAGTTTGCACTGTGAAACCCACAGCCTGGTGCAGACGAGCTGTCACTATGTACCCATGCTGGAGTTTGCAGTAGTTTCTGGTTTATGTTTTCATGTTATTGGCAGGAGATATTCTTGATGGAAGCAGCCACCTTCTGTGCTGCAGCCTTTCGTTGTGTCCTGACATAGCAGTGTTCCTGTGTGATGGCTGTGGCCACCACAGGTCAGGGTGGGCTCAGAGCTGGCTGAGTGGCCACCTGAAAGGGTTAATGTGGCCCATTTCTTCGTGCCAGTTTTATGTATCCAACTAATGCCAAGACCAGATACAGCAGAGTATTACTTTACTTTTCCCTAAGTTTCTATTTTATATACTGGTGACACTAAAGTCTGATTTTGTTTTGTTTATGTCAGATTCCATTCTCCAAATTCTTTCTATCCAGTCGGGGAAGAGTCCAGGATAACCAGCATCCTGTCTGGTTAGATAAGGCAAGTTTTCTGGAGAATTTATTTGAAATTTCATTTGAAAAGGCTGTATAAGGAATACACAACTGCTCTGTAAGAAATTCAGAATTTCCTTCAAGATTATACTGGCCTGATATAGATAACTTACAAATACTCTAATGTTTGTAAATTTGAAATTGAAGGGCCTCTTCATGTTATAAGGCACTTATTCTCATGTGTGGTAAATAAAAACATAAAATTGTATATGGGGTATTTAAAATATTTACTAGGAGTTAAAGGGACAAATCAGTACTTGATCTGAGCATCCTACACTCAAAACTCTTCCAAGTTTTGTTGATGGCTATTTTATGTGTACCATTTGGCGTAAGAATTACTTGCAGTGTAATTTTACAAACATTTTAAAGAAAACCCAAAATCAGGGAAGCAGTGTGAAGGTAGTTTAAGAAATCTTAATAAAATATCTTGGTCACACACAGAATATTTGGAGTTGGAAGGGACCCACAGCAACCATCAAGTCCAACTCCTAAATGAATGGCCCTTGTGGTACTAATGTATGTTTTCCTAGGAACCTGGAAAGGCAGAAAATAATTGTTACATGGACTGGTTCCTGCCTTTCTTTATTCCTGTTTATCTAGGGCTTGCAAAGGAATAGATTCTTCAGAGCACAGAGTTTGGGTGACTCCTGTAGATTATCTGTAACCATGTCATTTGGAAAAAAAAAGGAGCTTTAAAAGCTCTCTGGGCTCCAAAAGCCAAGGGGCTGCTTGTAGAGTTTGCTGCATTGAAGGAATAGCATTGAAAGCATTAGAATGATCCCGAGGAGTGCATTTATCTAGCTTTGTTCTGTTATTTATTCAGCATATATTTGCAATATCTATTATTTAGACTCAATCCATTTATTCATCTGGCACATCCTGGGTATTATTTTCCTGAACTTACAGCAGTCCTTAAAATCACGGGCACTGCTCAGACCTGCACTGGTGACTGACTGAGCTGTTAACATGGAGGTGTTCTGTAAGTGAGAGCTGAGGGAGCATTCAGGCAAGCCAGAGGCTAACAGAAAGCATGCCTGAGCCACAGAATTGTTCTTAAATATAAAAACATTATTCTAATTGGAAAACAGTGGCTAAGAACCTTATCTTAATATTAAATTCAGTAATTAAGTTTCATGCCAGCTTAAAATTAGGTTCTAAAATGTCTGGTTTGGTGTTTTCACAGAGTAGATGGTATAGCACTTGATCTGGAATGATCTCTTCCATCCTTAATTACATCTTTGTTTTTCCTATTCATTGAAGAATTGTGACTTTATGAAAATGTGTTTAGAAACCTAATTGTGATGAAAGTAGCTATATGTGAGGCATGAAGGATAAAAGTAACTGGTGCTTTAGGCTCAGGCCATTTTAGATCAAGGGTATTATATTTATTAGCTCAGTGGTAGAAAGACAAATGTGGAGTCATTGCCCACTGGGGCCTGTATTGGAAATGGGGTAGTGAAGTGTTCAAGCCTTAAAAAATGGTGCTGCATTTTGAACAAATACCATTTTAAAGAAGATGGCTGTGAATGATGTGTAAAATACAGAAGTGGGAAATACAACTGAGTTTGATTGTAATGCTCTAAATACTGTTCTACCCTCTCTGTCTTTTAATTAGATTAGAACCCTTGGATTCACCATTGGAGATAAAGTAGATGGTCCATTCCAGCTGGAGATCGATTTTATTGGTCTGCTAAATGACAGAGCTCATAGAGAAGAGTTTGCCTATGAAATATATGACAAGAACACTCCAGTCTAAGTTGGGTGCCTAGCCTTTGGAAAATTCTTCAGATATTCGATTTATTTTTATAAAACACTTCTTAATGTGGCTTTAAACAGCTTGAAGAGCCTATATAAACATTAAAGAGATAAGTGCATGAAGTGTGACACCACTGGCATCTTTGAACTCCCAAATATAGAATTCTGGAGAGACTGTACATAGACTACAGTAATGTTCTTACAAAGTAGTAGCTCTTCCCTGGGTAAGTTTTGGCTTCTGTCCTGACCTTTACTGAAATAAAAGTATTTCATGAGTTTTTCTTTTTTTTTTGTCCAGCACTTTCATTTTCTACATTATGTGGGTTGTTGACAGTTGTAAAACACTTGCATCTGCTCGTTTTAAACTGAAAATGGCTTATGAATTAATATTGAGGACTGGTACTTAAGTATGACTCAGCTACTGCAATTTACTAGAATCAACACCAGAAGTGGAAAAGGCAGAAGTATTTCAACCTTTAACTTTGGCTCTTCTAGATAGCTAAAAAAAGAAAAAGCTGTCACTGCCAAGATGGAAACAAGAGCTATGCAGCAGGCTTGACTTTCCCTTTAGAGCTGCTGAGGATAATCCTACAATGTTACAGAGCCAGGGTTGGTGGAAAGAAGTAATGCTTCAAAGGAGGGGTGGGAGAAAAGCCTGAGTTCTGTCTGCTTCCTCAGGAGGCAGAGCTTGACTGACTTACCCCCACTACAGGGCAGAGCAGATCCCACTCCTGCTGTGTGCAGTTAGCCTAACTCAGCTGTGTTGTAAGAATTCACAGCCTCAGCTGGTGGCACAGAACCTCATTACCTCCCTTCTTCAGAGAAAGCCAGTTTTCAGTAACTCAAGATAACCACTCAGCACTTGCTTTGTAAAGTGTGTTTCAGCTGTCATAAATTTAAGTAATCTGAAGCACTGACCTCCACAGTGACCTTGTTTAAGTATACTGTAGCAATATTAAATGTTCCTGTATTTTATATGGAAGAGAACACAATGAAGCAGGATCTTGTACTATCATTTTCCTTTTGCACAGAATTCAACAGCTTAATTGTAGAAGAAGAATGAGGGTTATTGTTTCTAAAGATACCAGAGCAAACATCTTTCAGGGAGCGAGAGGCAGGTGAGGAATACTTGGCACAGGAAAACACTGCAGTAAATACAAGTGTGAACAAAAACAGTGCCACAGCAGTTATACATAGCATACTAAATGATAGAGCCAGTGATAAACAGGACATATACAAAATATTTATTTCCCCTGTAACATTTATAAAAAAAAAAATTGCTTTTTCTTGACATTGCAGCATATATCTGATGGGACACTAAATTCAGTGAAACACTTACTTGCTCTACAACTGAGATTACAACTGCTATATTACCTCTCTACTTCTGTCCCTAACAAATCCAGACAACTTTCCTGTGGGTTTTTTAAATGTAAAATAACAACTGCTTTTAAAACCAAGGTATTGAATGTACCTCAACACAATTATAACCTCTTTTAAGCATCTTAGAGATGAAAAGCAAGAGAATTTTAACATCTATTTACTATAGAAAGGTACAAAACCTTAACTCAGAGCATTCAGTTGGTAATTTGTAAATTCAGTTGTGACTTTTTTCAAAAAGGTAGTTTACAATTACGTTATGCATTAGTTTGCCAGAGAGCTTGCATATTTTTTCTTCTCTTTGAAATTTTCTTTTTCATAAGCATGCAGTTAGAAATGCTGAATAATTGCTGTAATAGACAATATAAGGATTGATCTGGAGAACAGGGCAAGCAGGTACTTCCAACTCCTGTCACTTTGAACACTAGAACATTTTGAAGCTTGCTATCTAATGCCTGCACTCTAGCACACAACAAGTGCATTCTGATGCACAAGTCTATCCTAAGTTGCAAGAAGGCTTCTTGAGCATCTTTTTTCCATTTACATTTTCTTCTTTAACATCTTTTAATCAAGTGAATTAGTTAAATGAAAACATTATGAAGCAACAAGAGAGTTCTAAGCCCCTGAAAGTTTAGAACTCTCATCTGAGTGGAGAAGCTAATCACAGAAACATTATGCTCAGAGCACATTGCAAGGTCTCATTAATTGCTTTCTGGATTCCACTAGCTAAAAGCAACGTGAACCATACAGAGACAGCACAAGCCTTTACACAACAGGAATAGTATTTACAGTGATGTCTTGGATACTTTTTATTCATCCTAGCACGCAGATAGGCCTCTACGTTTTCCAAGAGCACGAGACCTTTTCTTCTTTCTGTCCTGCTCCAGTGACTCACGCCTTTCTTCCCTGGAGGGGAAAAAAAAAAAAAAAAAGACCATGTCAAGTTCCATTAAAGGTAGAGACACAAACAACCAAAGGAATCCGAAGATGACCACGGCCTAACACGAACTTAATCACTGTGCTGCCTTTGCCATAGGCAGAGATAACAGTACTGTTATGGACCAAACCCAAAAATGCAGGCAAATACTTCTGCTCAGGCATGCAGGTCTATTACATGCACTCTGTTACATAGGTAACAGCATGTCTATATTGACAGCTTCTTCCAAGATGAAAGTAAATCTCCAAACTCTGGAACTGATACTGTTCATGGAAAAGAAGTCTAACAAATTCAGTGCAGCCTTTTGTTGGCCTTCCTGAGATTGAACAGTCATTGGAAGGAAGAATGGCTTTAATACAAAAGTATTTTTTCCTAAACTACATTTAAATCCTATTAAGAATGAATCATCATATTATTTTAAGTACCACTATCTATAAAAAGACGAGTGGTATACTAACCTTGTCTGGAGACGTGGCTGTTTGTAATCTTTCTTATGTGAACAGATATTGCTGCCACCAGACCTACCGAGAACAGCATTTTCTTTAAATTCTCCCCATGGTTTTAGTCGTCCTACAATTTAAGGGAAAAAGAGAGACTAGTTTAATAGTTTAGTAATTGTGTGCTTAACTTCTTAAAACGAATGCCTCTAAGCTGTAAGATCAGTTTCACCAGGCCATTCCCTACAAGTAGCTCATCTGTAAGTAGTAACAGGTAACTGTACTTAGAAGTAACACCATGCAAAGTTCAGCTTCTCACATGAGATTTAAAAAACTCACCTCCATTGTGTAAGGAATGTTTCATATTTCCTGTACTATTCAGTGGAATACAAGGATATTTATTCTTGTATTTATGGGCTTTTGGTCATAAAATCCTAATCTTCAGTAGGGAGGGTTTTAAAGCATATATTATGAAGAAATTTAACATCAGACTGTGTGGGAACCCAGAGAGAAAGGAAAAGGGACAAGAGAAGAGACTGTAAACTTTGCTCTCACTGTTTGTATCAAAGCAGCCCTGCAGGAGCAGCCGAGTGTGAGGGCTGTGCCCAGCACACACTGCACAGGGTCACGGTACCTTTGTGTGGCTGATACCGAAGGGGCCGAGAGAGACTTGCTTTGAGATCAAATGTCTTCTTTCCACTCGTGGGTTCTGCAGATTGGGCTCCAAACTTGAACGGGGTAAGAACTACGAAAAGCATCAGGATACCATAATTAGAGTAGCAAGAGCATCAATGTACACGGGAAGACCACATGACAATTATCAAGACCAAAGAGCCATTAAATGCCCCAGCTGCTACCTCTGAAGATAGAATTGCACACAGCTGCCTTGAAATAGGGAGGGCAAGAGCTGTAGGGTACTGGCCCTTCAGTTATGATTATACTATCAAATCTCTATACAGATCCATGTGTTTTTCTAGTCCTTCAAGGCAAATTGTGTTTCTTCTATGCCCCTTTGGAACCAAGTGTTTTTTCATGCTAAAGAAGCATTCTTTTGTAACAGGCCAGCTTCAGATCAGCATGGAACTTTGCTTGCCCCTTAAAAACATCAGTATTATTATATAGCAAACCAGGAAGCTCTGGGTTCTTGACCTGTGCAAATATTCCTGTGATGCTAAGGGTGTCAATGACTGGATAGCAGAGCTGTGCTGCTGCAGAGATTGTCAGTAATCAGAAGACTTCTGATTTTTCTTAATTTTAGTTCCTGAGTTGATCAGGGTGCAGAGGCTAATAACTGGTTGTCCTAAAGCACAGCTAGAAGCCTGACGCATGCTAACTCCACAAGGAGAATGAGACCTCTGAGAAGGTGTCAGGAATTCCTCTCTGTACAGATAAGGTGTCCCTATATCTGCTATATGAATCTTTTGCTATGTAGTCCTTAAGGTCTAGAAGATTTTCTATCCTCTTTGCTGTAGGTAGCTAGATACCACAGGTTTAAGTCATGGCATCTAAACATTTTAGTCAAACCACTGGAAAACAAAGGAAACAAAAACTACTGATTCTGCAGTTTCTGGAGAACCAGTCATAAATTAGAGAATTAAATTAAAACCTGGGTCTACATGACATTTGGTTGTTAAAAGCTTGCACAGTAATTCAGGAAGACAAAAGTCTTGATCTGAAAGAGCCAAATATTCACCATCCACTTTACCCTTTGATGCAGTCAGATCATTATTTCTTGCATTTCCCTTACTGTTCTTCTGACTTCTTAGTTTGCAGCTCTTTTGAGTGTCAGGTGTGCAGATCTCCATGTACGGAGACATTCTAGATGGAGTCTTGGTAAGGGAGCGTTTGTGCTCGTTATCTTTTGTGGCTTCCGAGAACCTGAAAGGTTTTAGAAATATGAAGACAAATTTAGTCACCCACAAGGAATGTGAAGCAATGTGCCAGAATATGGAAGACTCTGCATTCTACTTTTATTACAAATAGAAAGATTTAGTTAGCTGTGAAAGATGTTCACAGCTCATACAAAAAATGTAATAAAATACCTTGCTGGTATAACACAAGCCAGTGTCAATAGCAGTAAGTAATATTAGAAACTACAAAGAACTGACCTTCTTGTTGTTTTGAAAAGCAAATATATTTGGATGCAATAAGGTAGTAGATTTATTCACCAACAAGTATGATTTACTTTAGATCTGGATTCTGTAGTAAAGCATTGCATATTTTGTTAGTTTTAAAATTCAATTTAAGAAAAACTGAAAGACAACTAACAGAATGCTAGACATCAAAGACCTACAAGCTGAAAATTTTGAAACATGCAGATTACCTGCACACCAAGACACATACATTCTTACACATGTATATGTGTATATATACATTTTTAATGAGTACCTATGATTACTTATATATGTGTACATGCATAAAATTCAAAACCTTGCAAAAAGGTACTGAGAATAAGCCATAAGAGTGCAAGACCTAGAATGACTGAGTAAATAGTGAAAAAGCTGTTTCTGTGGGCAAGCAAATTTATGAGGAAGTACAGCATGCAAGGTCCAGAGTGCAACTTTGGACGGATGGAATGTCTGAAGCAAATTCTGTAAGTAAAGTTTTAGTTCACGTATTGCTAGCAGACAATTAGGGCTGCAATGAAGACATCCAAGAGGACACTAGAGGCAGTGCATTTTTTACATTTGTGATCTATTGAAATCAAAAAGAGGACATTTAAAGTAAAAACAAGGCCGCTAAGTTTATAAACTTGATTTTGACCTTTGAACAGCAGAACTTGCATTCCAAAGTCACATAATTTTATATTATCAGACACCAATAAAAGAAACTGCATTATCTGACTTAAAAACAACAATCCCACATGCACTTTAGTCAGGGACAAAAAAAAAAGCCCCAGCAGCCATGATCTTAGCATGCAAAAGTTGAAAAGTGAAGGTCACCAGTGAAAGTAACACAACCAAGGCCTGCAAACAACCATGTATTGTTAGCAAAGGAAGAATGTCTAATCAGAACTTCAGTCACTGTGGAAAGTTTAGGAAACTGATTAAAGTCAAAATTTATATAATAGTTAGAAATCAACAAAGAAATAGTAAAAATAAAGGCTTTCACTAGAAATCCAAGCAAAAGAATATGTATCAATAGGATACCATAAAGGATGTCCTTTCAATTCCTTCAAGATGTTTATTAATCAAGACTTTAGGAAAATTATTAAGAAGCAAATAAAACATGCTGATAACAGAAGTTCAGGAAGCATTAACACTAACAGAATTAGATTATTGTGGAGGAATGATGACATATACATGATGTTCTAAAAGGAAATGAGACAAGGTATAATAAATAGCACCGAGTATGAGTTCATTCATTTAGCAATTCTTCATGACTTGTGGTGCCAGCTTGGTTCCCATCTCTTAGAAATGGTCTGTTTGTAGTGGTCCATCACAAGAGGACTCCTGCTGTGACACTGAAGGGGAGGGAAAGTAGAGGACAAAAGAAAAGAACCTAAAACCATTGCAAGACTCACCTGGGAATACTGAAGAAAGTTCTGATTTTAAAAAATTTACAGATAAATTAATTCAGATAAACAGAAACTATTAGGTTGCCTGGCAAAATAGAAAACCTAACACACAATAACAGAAGAAAAATAATTTGCTTGATTTTGCATCATTTGGCTTTAGCAAAATGAAGGCCAGGATTTGAGATTCTTCTAACAGACATAAAAAGGAAGAATAAAGACAGTAACAGTACAGTGAGGCTTAAACCACCCACAAAACCAAGCTGAAAGTTAGTAATCAGAATTAGTCTTGAATAGCTCATGTTTGGAAGAGAAATAATGTAGCAAAAGTCACAGTCAGTGTTGATTATTTCACGTGTATCACATCAAAGAGCTGGCTGGTAGCTTTGGTTTGTTCTTTTTACCTGACATTCATTTTGGATGTTGAAAGAACAGAAGGAAGAAATGAAGATTTCTGGGGTAAAATACTCCGAGTTGCAGCATTCAGAGAATTGCGTGGTGAGCGCCGGAGGTTGCTAGGAGTGCCAATGCTGCAGAATCTGCCTCTTTCTGGATTTGGGCTGAATAAAAATCTTTTGCCACTGGCTTGTTTCTAGAGAAAAGCAAATTCTGAGTTACCAGACTCTGCTGAAAATTTATCTACACAGCAGCAAAGAGGAAGGGAAAATACCCAATGAATTAGAAGCATATGGCCTGTTCAGTTTTCTCCCCTTTTTTTTTTCCCCCTTTAAAAGTATATTTTAAATATAAGTATTTTTATTATTATTAAATTGACCTGACACACATACCTTAGAATGTGGAGTGTCTTTTTCTGATGCTCTTAAGGGATTTGATTTTCTGGCCAACACCTGCAAATAGTAATTTGTCTGAAGTATACATTGACACAATATATATCATTAAAAAAAAAATAAATGTCGTGTTCAGGAGTTTCATTCATTGTTACTGCTTGATATGGACATGTCAGTGCTAGAGTAACTGACCTGAAGAATTCTATGGCCATTGACATATTCATTCATACATTCACTGATACATTGCTGTCGTTTGTTTAGGCTTTACTGCATTTTGTGAGAGGCCCTGTTAGCAGCTTTTTTCACCCATGTGAGGCTGAAATACAGGAACTGAGAACAGCACATACTGCATGTATTTTTAAAGAAAATCACATGCAGCCATGGGATGATTGTTCAGATACAAAAGAGAAACTTAATATTTAATTCTTCAATTTGAAAAATAACCTATCCCCTTGGTTAAGTTTTGCAGCAATTTAAACAATTGTAAACAACAGTTCTAGGAGATCTTTCACAAAGGTAATTGTGACAATTATTTTTACTCAAGAACAAGGTAGTTGTTGGTTTCTACTTCTGTACACTGTTAACATGTAAAAACTCCTACAATCATATAAGTTATGTACAAATAACTATATATAACTAGTTATGTAGAACTACAGTTAAATTTCATTGGTTATAACATTGCACTGCATGGTCACATGACCAGCTACTTGCTGATCTAAAGAGACCTGGTAGGATTTTGACAGAAAGGCACTGGAAATAAATGAATATGCCAGCAATGGGTATCTTCCTGTCTCATCTCTTACCTTGACTGCGCTGCAATGTTCATTCAGTTTTTTTTTCCTCTCAATGTAGTCAGCAATAGATTCCATTTTCTCGAACTGAGCCTGGTGCAACTTTTTAAAGTCTAAGGAGTTCCAAAGATAAGAAGATTCACAGGTCTGATATGGTTCTAAGGAAGTTTAGTACTTGATAGGAGTATTTTGTGACATCTATTGTTATGGGCTCAAAGAAGTCAACACATCCCTTTAATTAAGGCTGTAGACACAGGACCAAAAGAATCTATTTCACCAGCTACATGGCTCATTACCTGGTAATCTGGAGGATTATACAATCATGGTTTAAAGATCATCTAACCCAACCCTCAAAATCTGCAGTTAAAGATAACAAATACTTCTACATTTGAGATGATTTAACACATTTTAAGAAGTGATGAACATGAGCTCATGTATAGTAGTACAGCACAACCATATTTATAAAGTGAAAACTAAACCAGCAGGAGTAATAGCATGTATGTGTTCCTATTCTTTGAAAATCATCAATGCAAGAATTGTGTCAAAAAGTCACCAATATGTTCAATAAACCAGTTTTTTTAACATACATGCCAGTCATTAATTACCATGAATTTACAATCTGGAATAGGTACCTTGAAACGTAACATTTGGGAAATTTGCTTTGTTTGCTTGCTTTTTAAAGAGAGAATATTATTTAAGCAGAAATAGAAATTTCAGTTGTAAAAAACTAAGTCAAGTCTCTACACAGAGTGAGCACATCTCTTTCTAAAGATGGCAGGTTTTCTTACTTGGTGTAGTAGTTGTCATTCCCATTCTTGCAGACCTAGAGGCACAGCCTGCACGTACAGGGATCTTCCCTCCTGCAGGATGAGCATTACCTGGTACAGTAAGATTAGACAAAAATCATTACAACTCCTGGAAGATTATTTAAAGTAAGCATAGAAATTTTAAATATTGTTCCAAATTTGTTTCAGAACACATATTTCTCCTCAAAGTGGGTGTAGGTTTTGAGAAATAAAACCAGCTGGAATAGCTATGTTCTATGTCTCTCAAAAGTATTTTAATTGGTTTGCCAGTAGTAACATATCTTGACAAACCACAAGCATAGCATGAATCCTAAAGTCATATTGGGTTAGCATCTTAGGATAGTAAAAATTTTGCAGGGAAAGTTTACAAGAGAATTGTGCTTGTGGTAAATAAAAACTTTAAATTCACAGGCCTTGGATTTGTGTTTTTTAAATGCTGGTACTAAAGAAGAAATAAAATACCTTTTGACCAACTTTTCTGCCACTGCCTTATTTACATACAGAGTCCAAGTTATTTTTGTCATCTTTGCTCTCAGGTATAGTAATAAGCTCATGCTCACATTTTAGTGATTATTTTCTCAAGAAAAAAAAAATCTGGTAAAGACTTTACATTAAGTTCAACATTTGTATATGAACAGCAAACGCTTGCATTTCTGGTCATTCACATCCTGTCAAAAGTAAACTTAGATGACCTCAATATACTGAAAGAAATCCTTATTGGAAACAAATAATGGTATGAGGTTAAAAATAATTGTTGAAAAATCAATTTGTCCTTATTAATGCAAACACTTGTTACTACAGCTATAGGAAGATGAGCACTGTACCAGCTGTCAGGATGAGTGCTGCCTCAACCCAAGCATCCTCCACATACCTTATTGCTTTTGTTTTTAAAAGCAACCTTCATAGGAAAACCCACATTCTTGAATTAGTTCAAAATTATTGGTGGTCTCCCATAAGATTGTCCTTGTAAATTCTATGGAGCAACAAGGATCTCTACAATAAGCTTACAAACTACATACACAGAGCCTAACAGCAAATGCAGGTGTGTATCTCACTTGACAGACCCCAAATATCAAGATATTATCAGACTGGGTAGACAAACTCATTTCTTCATGTCAGCTACATACACAAAGCAGTGGGGGATAAATTAATCCATACTTTCAGTGGCATCATGTTTGAAGGACTAAAAATGCCACCAGATGAAAAAGTGATCCAGTGGAATATATTCAGATACTCTGAGGTAGTTCAAACAAGTGATAAAGGATTCTATATTCTTTTGTGCTAATTTTACTCCTAGAAAGGAAAAGTTAAAACTGTTTGCCTATAGAAAAAGGCAAATGAAGCATGAGGAAGCAAGTCCTCCCTTTCTTGCCACCTCTTAGAGGCCAAATAACACCTCAAGGATATTCTAAGACACTAATCCTTTTGGAAGTGTAAAATTCAAATACACTCAGATCTCTGAGAATTCCTTCACTAAGGGTTCTGAAGTTAAAGCCAGTAAAATTCCAACACTGCAGAATTTGTGGATTTGTGTTACAATATGTTAAACAAGTAACACAAACTCAAACTAGACCAATTTTCTAGTATCCCCAAAACAAGGTACCAATCTACAGACATGCCACAAAAACCTTTGAAAACACAATAAAAATTATCTTTTGGTTATTCTAAGTAGCATAAATTCAAGTTACTTTTATCCAATTTTCTACTTACGTTGTTCTCCCCTGCCTTTAGTAGAAGTCTTCTCTGCTTGTTTCTTCTGTCCAGTACCCATCCCTGGATTCTCAACAGCTCTCTCTTCAGTTATTTGGTTGCTGTTTTGTAATACCTTCTGTCCCTTTTTCTGCTCACCCTGAGGCACTTCATTTTCTTTCATTTCAGAATGCACCTGCAGTTCAAACGTACTTTGTTAAACCAGTTTGCTCCAACTGGATATAAAGAAAGGCTGTTGTTCTGAGAACAGTGAGTCAGTGGAACAGATTGCCCAGAGGTGCACAGCCTTCATCCTCAAGGGTTTTCAATATAAGATTGGATACAGCCTAGAGCACTGTGCTCTAACCTCATAGCTCTATCTGCTTGGACTGGGAAATTCAGCAAGAGATTTTCCCAAGTCCAAACTGAATTAACCTGTGAAATCCTTACCCTGTTACTTCACAAACTTAGATATATTAGAAAGATTTGACCTGTATAGCTCTCACATTTTAGTATAAAATTGCCTTTATAGATAAAAGTTACTTATTTGCAAGTAAGAATAAATTCACTGGAGATGTTACTTTTTAGTGTTGTATTTTTGCATACTGTACAATTCTCTAACAGTAAAAGACTAACTCTCATTTTCTCATTTCCCTCCTCTACCTCAGTAAAAGTCTTTCAGACAGTTCTTAGTTTACCTACTCCTTGTAACTAAAAATAAAGTTCTACCTCCATCTCACCTTGAAACTTTCTCTCCCTCAGTCATACAACCCTCACAATAAAAAAAATTATGAGGTTTAGGCAACTGTGCAACTTCTGATAATTTTTTCTCTATCAAAAAAGCAACAGCCTTATTTTAGATAAATTGTGAAACTAGCCTAAGATTCAGAACAGTATAATGAACTAGTAAAAGCAGTCTTACACTCAGATAAAGTGTTTGGAATTGTATATTTCTTAAAGGAATTTATTTTCTTGAAGCAATGACTAGCAAGTCATGTCTCTCTATTATGGGACAGCACATAGATAAACAAAAGTCAGTGCTACAAAATACAGAAGACCAGTACCAGAATGCTTGCATATGAATTTTTATGCACGTCTACACATGAACACACATATATAAACTATAAATGGTGATTGAAAAGAAATCAAGTGTGCTTAAATTATGCTCAGAGAAAGGGAGGACAGTCAGCACACAAAAGCATGCAATGCAAATCACCTGTTTCTCATCAGAAAGCACTGGGGTTTCTTCACTGGTATTAGTTTCTTCATGGGAGTTTCTCTTTTTTCTGATTATTTTCTGATTATCTTTACCACGTCTTTTTGTAATAAAACACAGTGAATCAGACATAATTTCCTCCTGATTGCTCAGATCATCCAATTTAATGGAAGCAGATGCACTCTTTACAGGACCCTGTAGCAGAAAAATACTATAACTGAAACACATCCGACACAAATATAAATTAAATACTCCAGGAATAGTTCCAATTTCATTATTGAGAAGAGTATTTTACACAGGGGATAAACAGTAGCATGCCTTGTAGCAGCATAGTAATCAAGAAACTGGCACTATCTAGATTCCCATAAGCATCAAAACCTATTGTTTGGATACTTTGAAACAATTCCTATGATTAGTTTATCACATTTCAGTTAAATAAGATTATAAAAGCCTAATATTTTGTATTTGAAAACTAACTTGCATGATGCCATGACCCTCCCACATTTGTGGAATGCTCTGCAACAATAGAAACAGGGCTCCTTTCCTGCTTGTGAAAATTTTATGAAAGCTGACAAGGTTTACACCAGTTCCTCAAGCTTTTAAAGAAGATTTTTAAGGGATGCACTTAAAGGGAGATGCATTTTAGAAAAAACAGAAAACAAATTTTTTTTAATCAAAAGCTTCAAAAACAAACATTGCCACACTCAACAAAATAATTCAGATAAACAGAAAACTTAATAAAAAGTTAAGAAAACAACACAATACTAAGAGGCAAATAAAGGAAGTAGCACAACTGTCTTGTTTTCATTATAGTGGAAGTAAGTTGTACTAGATGCAAAACACTTTTCAATTACTATCTAGTCCCCTTCATTTAGGCATGCAAAATGAATAAAATATTTTTGTATTTGGTACTGAATAGTTTGGAGCCAAACAAGCAAGAATTAAGATCTGTTTAGTGAAAATGAAATGCTATTGTTCACAGAGAATAGTTTTGTATTGATGCTGAAAAAGACACAGTTAATTTTGGCAGCTGGAAGGAAAGCAGCTTTCACTCAGAGGCCGCTTCAAAACGAACATTAGCATATCTATTTCTATCAGTACATAAGTACTTTAAACTAAGGGCATTAAGAAGAAAATGATATTTATATTACAGTTCCCACTGCAGTCAAAAACACTCTTCAGCGCATGCCCCATCTATGGGTTACAAATTAAGATTTACATCACTTAAAAGCAAGAGCTGATTTATTATGTGTTACCATATTTTCATTTTCTTCTTTTGTCCCCTCAAAATGTTTCTTCAATGATTCCAACAATTTGTCTGCCTGAAGAGAAATTAAAACAACACATGAACCAGTCCATTAAGTCATAGAAGAACTGCATAAGCCCAACCTGCATCCTATAAACCGATCCAACAAAGAAGCAGAACATTTCCTGAATCCAACAGGATAATACAGACCTAGAACGCTGCTTGAGTCACTCAATTAGAGAAAGTGCCTAAGGCCACAGATAAATATGTAGCATATTCTCCACAGAGGCAGGAAGGCAAAATTTCCCTGCCTAGGCTTCTCCTGAGCTATTTTCCAGGAGGTTAATTGTTCAAGGAATGAGACAGTTTTAAGCCTCACAGTGCAGCTGAACTTGAATTAAAATCGTATCAAATTTCTGCAATTGCTTCTGTCTTGTCCATGCTACATGCAAAACATTCTTTTCATCCCTTGTATGCCTCCAGTAGTAAGAGTAATAAAATAACGCTGAAAACCATCGCTGATTCGGGCTATGAAAGACTCAAACACCTAGGTGGAAAGGTCACCGTGAAAACAACCAAAACACCCCAAAACTAACATTCCCAGAACAACCCTTAGTCCTGTGAGGTCAGGGAGCTGCCTCGTCCCCCCAGGCGGTAGCTCTTTCACTTAAGGCTGGGTATGACTTGTGCCGTGGCTGGCCAGGCGGGGCCAGGCCGTGTCACACACGCACCTGCAGGAGCTCCAGCCTCCCTGGCGCGTCCTTAAACTTCTGCCCTTAACCGCCACCGCCAAACGCGCCCTCTCCTCCCTTAGCCAACTCCGTCGTCACTGCCCCGCCCACTCCGAGTCGTGAAAAAACTAAACAAAACCAAGCCAAACAACCAACCGCAGCTATCCCCACTGGGGGCAAACAGCGCGGGGATGCGGGCGTGGGGGAACAGCTGGGCCGGCAGGGCCCATTCGACGGCCGAGGAGCACCGGAGCCCCGCGCTCCCCCTCCCCGAGTGCTTGCCCGCATCCCGGACGGCAGCACAGCCCCCGGGGCGGCCCATGCGAAGTCACCGCCGCACAGCGCAGGCGGTGCCGCTGCCAGCGCCGCTCCGGACGCGGGAGGGACCGGCCCGGGAGGCCGGGGCCGCGTTCCCTCGGCTCATAGCCGGGCACGGGGGGAACCCCGGAACTTCGTGGGCAGCGTTGCCTCGCAACCGCCCCCTCCTCACCCGAAGGTTGGCCCTCAGCCCGGCGGCTTTGGCGATGCGCTGGAGCTCGGCGTATTTCAGCGCTTCCAGAGGCTGCAGCGAAGCGAGCGCCATGACAGCACCTCCGAGCGGCCCGGCGCGCCGCACGTCAACCGACACCGCTCGTGGCGCCCCCGCCGTTCAAACTGGCCCGCCGCGCCAGCCCATTGGCTGGGCCAGAGAAGAGGGCGTATCCCAAGGGGAGCGGGAACCGCCAATGGCGACGCGGTCCGCCGCGCGTGCTTATTTTCGAGCGCGATGAGGCGTTCCCGGTAGAGAAAGGCGCGCGCGGTGTGGCCCTCTGCCCAATAGGCGCGGGCGGCGAGGATTGACACATCCGCTGACCAATGGACACGCAGACGTACCAACCGTGCTCCAAATGCGAGGTTTGGAGGGCGGGCCCCGCGTCCGAACGCTCGGCGGGAGGAGATGGCGGTGCGGCGGCAGCTGCAACAGCTGTTCAAGGACCCGCAGCGCGTCGGGACCATTGTGCTGGAGCGGGCGGCCGCCCCCGCCGCTACTGCCTGTATCCCGCAGTCGGCGTCCGCGCCGTCCCTGCCGCCACCGCCACCACCACCGCCGCCGCCGTCGCCGCTGCCGTCATCTCCCTTGCAGCCGGCCGCGGTGCCGGCGTCGCCGCCGCGGCGGCAGGGCCCGCTGCCGGAGGATTGCGCCGTGTTCCACTGCCGCGGCTGCTGGACGGTGCTGGGCGACTCGCTGCAGCTGTGCGGGCAGGAGCCGCCGGGGCTCAGCGTCCTCGTCTGCTTCAGTGAGTGCCTCGCCGGGCCTGCGGGTGCCGAGGACGCGCCGCTGCCCCGCGCGGGCCTCGGGGCGGGCAGCGGCGGCGCGGCTGGGGTTGGTCCGGGGGCTCTCGGTTGCAGCGCATCTCTCTGTCTTTCTCCTCAGAAGTCACGAACGATGTGACCTGGGAGGACTCGCTGTTGGTCGGCCTCGAAGGAGCCCTCCTGGGATGGTGCGTAGCTCCCGTAGTTTCTGCTTTCGGGCCTGCCGTGAGTGGCCGCCCGGTAAATCGTGCGGGCAGAGCCGTGCGCGGGGGGTTCTGAGGGGCCTGGCAAACTCCCAAGAGACTTCTGTGCCTGTTTCGCATTTAGGATAGAGAAACCTTTTGTAGGGATGTAGTTTTCATTTGAAATTAAAAGTTTTGCTGCTCTAACCTCTTATGTAGAAGTGGAGAGAAACATTCGAGAAATGCAGGAGACAGCATGTAGGTGTTTTTCTTTCCTAAAAGATGTCTTACTTAAAATATATCTAGATTGTGTTTGGTTTGGTGGGTTTTTGGTTGGTTTGGTTTTTGGGGGAGGGGTGGCTTTTGGTTGGTTGGGATTTCTTAATAATGGAAATTAAAAACTTGTCCTGCCCTATTCATGAACCTGCAGTTAGCAAGATTTGGTAATTTAGTCTAATGGGAAGAATGTAAAATGTCATCTGGGGCCTTACAGAACCACTAGCTTGTTTATGTTTAAAGGCTGTTTCACCTATTATAACTGATGCCTTATATTTAAAAAGTTCCCAGTCCTTATGATGCCTTAAGGACAGGGAACTTTTTCAATATAAGAGTTGCTCTCTTTTTGACTTTTTTCCTTGCTCCTCTGTCTGCATGGGGCAATAATCTGTTTTATTAGAAAGAATTTTCACCTAGCACATGCATTGTTTCATCACTTAAATCATGTTTGAGTAAAATTGTCTAAACCACTCTGTGATAAGATGTGCGTTTTCTTCCTTAATAGCAACTTCACTTATTAGAGAGATTCCTTCTTTTAAAACATGCCCAATTTCTTATGGTTATGTTGTTTTTGCACATGTTATTTTTTTAAGCAGGAGGCGTTGTTATGCCTTGGATTTTGCCCCAGTAGAATGGAAGATTTGCACAAATATGCAGCATCTGTGGTTTCAAAAGCTTCTGTTTAAGAACACTTTTCCCTTTCTTTTAGTGCTTATTATTTATTATCCTGTCGCTCATGTGGCTTGGCCGTGGGCTTCATTCTTCATTCTTGTGGCAGTGACCTGGCCTATCTCCGAGACTTGTTCTGTTTCTTCAAGGACTGCATCATCTGGTGAGTGCACTGTATTCTTATGGTCACTGACTTTACAGGTAGTTGTAAGTTACTGTACAAGTAGCCTACACCTAACACAAGTGGTTTGGCTTTTGTCTGAGCATATTGGTGTGGGATTTTAATATCCTTGATGTCTAAATTGTGTTGATTTGAATCCCTTTGATTTGCCTTGCATCTCTTGAGTGTCCTCACGTAATGTAAGGCTTCAGATTTACTTGGGTGCAATACTGAGATCTCTTCAATTGTAAAGAAGCTGTAAATTACTTATAGCTGGTGATGAGAGGATCTTGATTCCAAAGTAAAACCATTGTTATGTTTTGAATATTTTTATAACTATTACTTTTGGCAACAACCTTGTATCTGCTTTAAAATCATCTTAAATCATCTGTCTAAATGATGCAACTATTGATTTTTTAACTGTTTTTCTTGTGTTTTTTTTTCCCTTTGCCCTTTTGTTTTCCAGTTACCTCTTAAAAAACCAAAGGATTATAGAAGCTTCTAAGGTGAATTTTCCACCCGTGACTTTAAAGGAACAAATGCACAAAGTAAGATTTCCACAATAAAGGAAAATGCTTTTAAATTGCTGATAATTTTGGACATTAATTCAAAAACATTGATACAAATGTGGAGTTTTTAAGTGCCCAAGATTGAGAAAATGCTGCCTTATGTGACAATAACTAACTTAATACATGAGACGTGGAACATTTTCTAAGACCCCTAAACTGCAGAACACACCCAGTTCTAGCTAAATTTTGGCAAAAAATTTGTTGTCCTTTTATCTCTATCCCTTGCAAAGGCAAAAACCCAACCCCCAAGAATCATTTATACAGATTTGGCCTAAGTATTACGACTTGTGTGGTCATTGTTGAAGAATTTAAAAATATAAATTTTTTTATTTGAAAGGGATTTTTAAAGAGTTACATTTTTATGTCTGTGTAAGCCCAAAACATCATGGCAGTATTAGTAGTTTCAGAGACAACTCTAGGACCTCCCTCCTGTTTTGGTGTTCAAATTGGATGTTCTTATCTGACTAGTTGTTAGTTAATTACCTGTGCCTTAGCTCAAATACAGTTATTGTGTGTAGGAGACAGCCAGCATACCCAGTATTTATTTATTTGTTCCTTACTTTGGGTTTGAGTTTAGATTTTAGTTTCTCTTGTAATGGGCCTTTGACATTTCTTAAGTTTGGTCTTGTTCTGAGTCATCTTCCAGTTTCTGTAAGATCAGAGTGTTTTTACAGGTCAAGTGAGGCTGATGCAAAAATCTTATCCAGGTAAAACTTCTGAAGTCGAAGTAAAAATATGTGATGGAAGTAAAAATACGGTAGCACTTCATTGCAAACACAAATTATGTGCCTGTAGAGAGTTTTCTTGTTGACTAGAACAAGCTCAAGCATCTGGCCTTTGCTTTTTGAGACATGATGTCCACATGTATTCCTAAGCTAATGATGAAAGTTTGTCAACATATTATCAAAGAAGGTCTCTGGCTGTGTGAAAACTTGAGTTAACTAGGAAAGTTCAGATTCATCATAGTAAAACTGCAGCAACTCCATCTCCTTAAACAGTTATTTCCATTATGTCCCTGGAAGGGCTGTACTGGCACACATTCATCCATCTCCAGTTTGTAGTAGTGCAGTCCTCTGATCTGGGTGCTGGTTTTGTCAGTACTAAACATGCAGTATAGAGATCAAGCCTCTGTATTTTCCCATCTTGAAAGTGAGCTGCTCTTTAGCCACTTAAAGTGGGGTGCAGGTCATTCAGAGATGTGCTGTTAGAACTGGTTTTGCTAATTTTAACACTCTTAATTTCTCTTTTTTTCTAGGTGAAAGAAAAGCTTGTGGACTTCCATAGTCGCATAGAATTAGTGATAAGGAAGCTGGAGAAACTGGAACAAAATAATTATGTAACAGAATGGCAAAACTCTTCAACAGATCCAGATGATCTACTATCAAGATATGCAAGAGTTAATGCCAACTAATACCCATTTTCAATAACTGCTGGAGTTGTTTCTGCAACTCTGCTGAGTTTGGTCATAACGAAGAAATAATACACCAGACCAGGTCTGAGTGTTATCTGTCACTTGATCTGTGTGTAGAAAGAACTGATGATGAAGTGCATCCCTTCAGGGGAACACCTGAAAACCTGGCATACTGAAGTTATGCTTGGATAACTGAATAGCTCACCCATGCAGTATGTCACTCTCTGAGGCTGTGTAACTGTGGGTTTGGTTTTTCTAAGGACTTCAGGGGGAAAACCAAAAATACTTAAGTCAGGTTTCTGGAGCTATGTAAAACATACTTATTATTATTAGCAAGGTGATGATATTAAACAGCCACCATTACAAACTGAATATTCTTAGAGACCTGAAGCTCTTATCCTACCTTGTAATACAAACACAGTGTTAATGGCAGCCTTGGTTTTAATGGCAGCTAGTTTTTGGTCAAGTGGCTCATTAGCTACATGTGATATGTGAGCCACTGCTAAATGGACTCCTGAATAGTTTTGACATTTGCTTGTGTGTGTTGCCTGCAAAAGCAGCAGATAAACACATGACAGATGCTGCAGTGTTCTTAGTGCATGAGTCTGGTTGGCACCATGGAGGCAGAACACAAGGTTTTGGATTTCAGGTACAGGGCAGTACATGCCTAGGCAGCCCCAGGAACAGGACTGAGTCAAATTCTGCCAGCAAAGGCTATGAGCAACTGCCTTGAACAGATTTGAGCACTTCTTTCTGTAACATCAGCTATGAAACCAAGGAACAGTCTTCTGCACAATCATGGAAGCACTGCTTTCCTGCAGTTATGATTTGCCTGTTGCCTTCAATTGGCCAGTTAAGTTGTTTCATAAAAAATTCTCTCGGTTGAAAATTGGTTCTGCTTATTTCCAAATGTTTCGAAAATAATTGTGCAGAAAACACTACTTACCCTTTGTTACTGGGACAGAATATCCCTAACTCTTGTTTTTGGAAGATTAAGGGCCCTTTTCCTCTCCCTTTTGCTGCCTAAAGGGCTAATGTTTTTCCCTAGAGGAATAATGAACTTTATGGAAAGTTTAGTATTTGTCTGTATTAATCTAGAGAGGATTCTATTTACTTGATCAGCTTAATTCCAGTAATTCAAATTGCCTTTTCTTTCCATATATATGACCAGCAGGTTACAGACCTCAGTGCTGCTGCTGCCAGTTCTGTGTTTTGTCTTATTTATAAAATAACTCATAATGGGTTTGGAGCAGAGGGGACAAAACTCACTGTAAGGCACCTCAGAGGTTTTAGGTGGACAGCTGGTACTTAGGCTAGTACTAATGCTCACTGTTCTGCTTTCTGTTTGGGAGTTGTGTATGATCTCAGTTCATTGTGGCAGCAAAACCATAGAGTATCAACAGTCATTCTGCAAGGAGAGGAGAGACTCTCACAAATTCTAATACCACCATTGAGGTACTTCCTTGTGTTGTTGCATGAGTCCTAGAAATGTGGTTGAAAATAGCAATGTTTGATTTTGCTCTTTCATTCCAGTTTCTGCATTGAGACTGATTCTTGCTACTTTATATCTATACTATGAATAATGCTAAATTGTTTTGACTCATTACTGTTGATCCCTAAAAATAAAGAAAGCTGTCAGTTACATTTTTGTATTACATTTAAAGTTGTGAAGAAGGAACTTGTCAAATAAAAGCTGAAATTCAGAAATTCATATTGTGCAAATCATTGCCAATATTATGTGAGTCCTAAGGCTACTTCTTTTCCTTTGATTAAGTTTTCAGAAAGAAAAACATCACTTCATCTTGCTTCAGTCCTCATTTGTTTTGAAGCATCAAAATGGTTCCTCAAATTACATTACTTAGCATGAATTCAAATAAATAATGAGTATGTGCTGAAAAATAGCTGGTAAATTTTTAGACTGCATTTCTGCAATCTTTGAAACTGGGAGGACCTCCACCAACCACAGAAGAATTTTTTCATAAATCTAGTCATCAAAACAATAATATATGCATGAAACAGTTTTATGAGGGACCTTGTTACTTTTAGGCAATCAATACAAGAAACAGGATTTCTGCTACCCTCTAAAACACCCCTTGAAGGTCTTAACTGGTAAATTATGCATCTTAGAATGAGCAGAATAACAGTTTTTGTTTAGCTGCTGTCTAAGTCAAGTGCTCTTGTGCCTGAAGTCTGCTGGAACAGCTGACCCCAAAGCAGATACCCAGCATATATGAATTCAGCTCAAGTTGTTTTGACAAAGCTACAGCAAGTACATCTCAGAAGTGGAGTGGAATGTACAGTAATTTGGTTAATTTGTCTTCTGAACAGATGACACAGCCAGTTTTAGTGCATTCTCAGCCTGTGCTGCTTTATTGCTAAAAAAATTTGTATACAGGTGCAGAGTTTCCAGGTTCATTTTTAAACAGTTCCTCTTTACAGTGTCAAAAGAATAAAATATTATCTTGAAATCCTCAAAGATGCATAGATATAAAAGCAAGCTGCCTTTTGGAAAAAATCAGAATTTGCAGGGAGACATTCTTTCACTGATACCATGTAAAACATGTGCAATGGGAGTACACAGTTCATAGTCACACCAATAATTTCCTCCACTAATTCATGCAAGAATGCTATCAGACGTTCAGTATAAGTATTCTTTAGCCTATTAAGTACTAAGGTAATTTTTAGGAATTTCTACCTAATACTTCTCCTTTGCTGTTATATTTTTCCAAAGGAAAATAACTTCACTGACATCCTGAAGTAGCTTATTCCCCAGGTCATACTGAAGGGAAATACAAAGGATACAATGGCTTACTCATTAAAAAAAAATATTTAACAGACTTTAAAACCATGCATAGTGTTCTAAAGAATTAAAAATGACCATGGTAAACCACTGGACTAGATTTGTCTTAGAAATTTTCTTGTTTCTTGAAGAAGTTGGCTCAAAGACTTTTACTCAGTCTAACTTGTGATACCATGGAATAGTTCTCTTCTCTTATAATATCCCTATCTTCATTTGGCAATCCTTACATATCTAAAAAGAGCATTAATGGGTAAAACCACAATTCCCACTCTAAACCCAAAACATAGTGCTTTATGAATGGTTGGCTATGAAGTATGAACAGGAGTTAACTTGACACACCTTTTCTTCCTCCAAGACACTTCTTTTTACTTGAATGAGGACTGAGCCTCTGTACATGGAGAAGTGTTCTGCACAAGTTAAGCCCACAAAATTAAGCTAAGCTACAAGAATGGAATTCTGAAATAACAAGCCAGTATTCTACATATTTAATTACAGGTCTAAACTTGGAAAAGTATTAGTGATGTAGGGTATGCCACACATTCTTTTATTTTCAAACTGCCAGCAGAGATTGACTGCACTATCCACTAAGAGACTTGAATTACAGAGAACACACTAAGAGTTTACAGAAAGATGGCACCCAAATTCCCTTTTATTTAGTAAGTGAAATAAAGAAAAAAAGACAATTGCAACCTCTGTTGCAGAAGATAAAGACCTTCAGTGATCAAATCTCATTTTCTGTTTTTAAAAATCTCTTTAAAGAACTTAAAAAATATACAAGATTATCAGTATTTTCAGGTTCATTCCTGCGGATGCCATTATTGCTGGCTGGTACCAGTATGTTTCAGTACAGCTGCCTATGTGGCTAGAGTTACCTGAAAATACTGTCTATTAAAAAGCTATTCAACACCTGAAAAATATGTACTGTGCTTTTTAATTTCAGTCTTCTCCAAATAATTTCTCTCACCACACTCAAACTTATTACCTACTGTCTGGCAAATACTACACTCAATTTGAGTCTGTGGTTTCTGTTACTTGTTTCTTGGCTTGGGTTTTGGGGTGATTTTTTTTGTGGGTTTGGTTTTTTTCTTTCCCACCAGTCGGTCCCCCTGCACTGTAAGAAACTCTGCACCCTTTTCCTTGCTACAGCTGCAGCAGGTGAGAAACCTCCTCTCGCCTCTAAACATGCTTAGTTCATGCCCTGCTTTTTACATGCTCAGGACAGTGATATGAACCTGACAAGAGGTTATAAAGGCGAGTTCTGCTGATCCTGGTTCCTGATTTATAGTTTTGGTGCCATGCTTCTGTCCCTATCTATACATTCTGCCCCCTTCTCTACAGAGGCAGCACATTCTCTAAAAAAAACCCAAAATTTGAGAATCAAAGCAGGAAGTTCAAGCTATTGGTATATTAATTCCTATTGCTTCATTATGTATAAATGCATATCTCAATTAACTGGTAATAACTACATTACACTAGACATTTTGAATCATGCATAATTAGAATACTAGCTCTAAGATTTGGTTTGTGGGCCTGTGCCACTTTCCTTCAGTTTCTCCACGCAGTTCTTCATGCCCAAGGCATTACAAATTACCTGCCTTTTATTTGACCTGCAAACACACTCATTTGGAGGGGAAGTGGAGAGAAGCAGACAGGATTTACATAGGACACACTGAACAGAAAGTTACCTTCTATCTTTAGATGGGGTAAAGTCTTGGGACTTTGTGTTTATTATAACCCGGTACATAGGCTCAGAGACAGAAACATGCTCTGCTGACATCCTGAACACTGACACTTCTCTAAAACGCAGGAGGAAGAGTAGAGACTGAAAGGGAACAGACATCAGAATCCACGGTTAGTGTTCTGCACTGCTGAACAAGACACCCTGGTTCAACTGCTGGCTTTTGTGTGCCAGTCAAGGTGCTATAGGGGCAAAATGCTGGATCGTTCTGTGAAAGAAATCCAGTGGAATCTAACTTGAACTGTCATTCTGCAGCTCTGTACCTGACCAGCAAGCAGGATTATTAGTTTTGGAGGAAGACCAGCCAGTTTCCTAAGGATGCAAGAAACAGTATTTTCTAAGATTTGCTATACATCAAAAATTGTTCTAGCTTCAGTATTTTTTCCTTTCCTGTCCCCAAAAAGCCAGACTGCCAGCTCTTGATAATGTAATCTTGATGTAAAGCATCAGTATCCTCAACCTCAGTACAATTTCTTCTCACTATCAAGAAGTCTTTGCAAGACTTTGTTTTTTCTCCTAAACTTGACAATTACCCTCAGTTTCAGAAGGTACCAACAAGAGTACAGTCTAGACCTTCTGCAGCAGCACTACTGCATATACAAACAGAACATATTTGTATCATCTGGGTTTAGTGCTGCTAAAGGAGGAATGTCCATACTGATCATAATACCTTTGATATACCACACCTAAGTGTGGTAGTACCTAACGCTTCCACTTAGGTTTAGAAGCTGTTAAATCAAGGATGCTGAAGAAAAAGTGATGCCATAGTACAAGAGCTGAAAGGCAAAGGAATTCCTTTTGTTGCTGTGAGTAGTAATTCCTAGTCTAGCAGCCCACAGAATTCAGATCATTATCGAAAGCCTGAACTAGAAAGTA